GCAAGAAAGAAGAATTTGATTAGCCTGCGTTTAGCTGCTTTTGTTACCACTTTTGGGATCATTTTACGTTTTTGGGAAACTACCCAAAAAAACCTACCCCTCCCCTAAGCCAACATTTTTCCCTAAGTAAGAACTGAGTGCTAATGTTGGTTTAGGGGAGGGGTAGGTGGGCAGTTCACAGAAACGTAAAATGATCTTTTGTATGCAATTTGGCTCACACCTACAAATTTCAGGCTAATCTAGAAACAAGAACGAGAAGTCCAAAGACTAGTGCAAAGCTGATTTAAAACAAGGTGTATTGTTTTTTATAACAATATTTCGGCTGGCCATACCAGCCTTCTTCAGGTTTACAGATGTTACTGAACTTTTGTAGCAATCACAATATTATATAGATGGAGAATGCCGCAATAAAAGGGAGAGGCGGAAATGACGAACAACATAAAAACTGGAAAGGAAAAATACTAAGGATATGGATTACAATAATTCATCACGGCGGTTTAGGCCATGAGGTTCAAGAGTCATGGCCTTATCTATCAAATGCGACTCCCTGGCCTTACGAACTGAGTCACGTGAAGAATGAATTTTCTCTAGTGGGATAAACTGTATGTCAGTATGAGAATGGTTAGAGTGAGAGAGAAAGTGTTCAGAAACAGTAGTGGGTTTAGATTTAATGTTAGTTTTGTCGACTGCACGTCTGTGTTCGTTAAATCTGTCCTTGAGACGTCGCTTAGTTTCACCTATATATTGTAAATTACAACGGTTACATTGAACCATGTAGATAACATTTTTAGTGTTACAAGTCAGGTGTGAAGTGATAGAGCGTGTTTCACCTGTAGCGTAAAAGGTATAACTTGTTAGGCCGTTAGTAATGTATGGACAAGTGGCACAATGCTGTCCACAGCGGAAGGAGCCCGGCGAAAAATGATTGGTGGAGATAAAGGGTAGTTGTGCTTTAACTAAAAGGTCACGAAGATTAGATCAGCTTCGCTGTAGTCTTCGGACTTCTCGTTCTTGTTCTTTATATTTTGGCAGATTTGATCTCTTTTCTAGAGATCCAACGTTTACAACTAGCAGGATCTTCGCCCTCGGTTTTTGCAGTTAATTTAATCCTTTATTATAAAACCAAGGGAGCTTTTTTCAAAGCCTGTTCCAGGTCCACTCGTTCAATATCCGGGACTTCCAAGCTAGCAGTGCTGATGATGAAGAGAAACATTTTCCTTGCTTTTTGGATCTCAAGAGCAGTGTCGTCTGTTTCGTGCCACATTAGATTACGGTACTTAAAATCGACAGTTATCAAACAGCGTTCGAAGACTTCGCCGCCATCTTGACGGGCATCGAATGTAAAGTACATGTCTTTATGTCTAGTTTTCAGTATCTTGCCGCATTTTTACGAAATCAAGACTAATTTTCCTCAAAACTACAACGTGTATGTGTTCAGGCAAAGTTTTATCGATGTTAACAACCTAGTAAAAATGGTAACCACACAGTGAAAATTGCCAACGGACAGGAAGTCTGTTTTTGGTTTTGTTCACCGGCAATGTATGCGACTTTCATCTAGAAATCACTTTATTGATCCAGATCATGTGTGTGGAGTGAGTTTTAAATCAGTGTGAGTAGGTTCTTATATTGATTTCTTATATTTTGATCATGATGTCCTTCCAAAATGTAGACAAACATCTGGGCATATTACAAACATGTTGTCGCGTTTGTGCCAAAAAGCTGGGAAAAGGAACGAGGAAGACAAATGTTAAATATCTTCAGAAAGACATATTTGTGCTCTGAGGGCAAAATGTTGCTTTAGATTCGCCTCATGTTCCACTGTAATAAAAAATTTAATGTCCAAATTCAACCCTACCTCAATAAAATCAAACATGTGTTTTTGTTTCTTTGTAGTGTGGTCACAGGCTTACCTACCACCACAAAAGCCGTTCCTCCCTCTCAAAAATGGGTAAGAGGGAAACAGGTTGGAGGTGGGGCTTATATACCTTGTGAGTGGAAGCTCGCACTCAATGACCATTCAACCATAGAAGAGACTGTGGCCCTTATTCAACGGGCTTTCAAGGAGATAGATGAGGAAGGAGTCATGGAAGTGGAGGCTTGTGAAGATTTTCTCCACATAATGTTCAATCCCTCGTGTCAAATATTGTTTATACTTTACAAATGCCAAATACCGTATTTATTCGAATACGCGCCCAACCTTGAATTAGCGCCCACCTCGAATAAGGGCCCATCCTAAAAGCAGAAAAAGTTAATAAGCGCCCAGCCTCGAATAAGCGCCCACCCCACCCCCTCCCTTCCAACTCAAAGTCAAACAGCGCCCACCCTCACCCCCCTTCCTGCTCACACCCCCCAACCACCAAATTGAACAAGTACTAATAAGAGACTTCCCCGAAGACGGAGTTTTCTTCAGAGTAGTTTACAGGAACCTTGCTTTTTTACACCTTTGCATTTTGTTATTACCATTTATTGCAAAATAAACATACTGCACTTGGTGAAAGTGATGAAATTTTAATAAGCACCCAGCCTCGAATAAGCGCCCACCTCGAATTAGCGCCCATACCCAAGGCCCAAAAATTTAATAAGCGCCCAGGGCAGTTAATCGATGGTATGGCACATAATATGTTCAGTCCCTGTGCTGTGCAAAAGATCAATCTGAAACAGGAAAAATGCCACACTCTCCCCCATCAATACCTGTGTATGAGCAATAAGCCCACATTTTATTTCATAACATTGAATATGTTTGTATTTGAATAAATCCTAAATTATTGAGATTCTCTCGATGAAAAAGCATCTACATTAATGTATGGTCCTCCCTAATAAATAGTACATGAGAGAGATCTCACAAGATAACTATTGAAAACCGATGTCAGCTTCTACTGTCTTCATTATATCAATTAAGCTTTGGTTTTTGGTTTTCATGTCCAAGAAGGTGTTAAAAAAACAAGATTTTGAGATATAAGAGTGTGTATAATATGCGAGCCAGCGAGCCATGGCAGCGAGTCATGCAGGTCAGATACGACTCATTGAAAATGATACATAAAAATCGAAAACAGTAATACGGAAAGAATTAACTGAAAGCTAACCATGGTAAATAAGACTGATAAATAATAAATTAGTGTTTAATCCTAAACAGCACTTAATCATAACCCATACCCTAACCTAAACCCTAATCAGTAAAAAGAATGCTCAACCGTAATCTGTAAAATTTGCAGTTTTTACTTGTTTTTACTTTATTTTTGCTGATGGTCTGTGTGACTTGCATATGTCAGGACCAGAAATAAAATGTTTCTTTACAAAAAACAAAATGTAACAATAAATAACTTTTGTTGTATCTTTACTCTGATGTGTAAGCTTTGTTTTCTTGAAAGTGCTGTTCAATAGAAACATGGAGAACTATGAAAAAGAACTTTGGAAAACTTATGTTGTGTCCATGCCAAGTGCAGTAATCATTATTATTTTGGGCCAAACCTTGTCCAGTAGAATTGTTTAAGGGTCCCCACAGAGAAGACTTGGAGAAAAGTGCTCCTCAAAGTTACAATGCCTTTGGTTTGAACGCAACCCTAGAGTTAAAAACAATAATTTAGTATTATTCGGATATAACATCAAATCCCATATACGAGGATATTTTATAACAACCCATAACCCTTTTGATCTCTGACCTCTGGTCAAATCCGGTGGACCATAAGACTATAGTATCCCATTTTAATCAATAATTATATCCAAAAACATGTAACAGGCATTCTTAGTTTTCCAATATGTATATTAAATTCTAAAGAGTCTCTTGCATTTGTTACGCTTGAGCAAATAATCAGTGAACTTCAGACAGTGGAATAATTGAAACCAGTAGGTTTTTTTGAAGCGGGACAAAGAAAAAATGATCAGGGATGATAAGTAAGATTTTCAATTTTGTGGGTTTTCGAGAAGAAAACGCGAACACAATACCCCTCAGAAATCCCTTGTAAACCTGTTGTATACCTGGACGGAACCGCTTCAGGACATACACCAACAGAACATCATATTCGAAAAAAACAGATATTTTACTCACAAATGACACGCTTGCACCAAAACAATAACCTGAATTGCAGCCGTCTTAGCTTCTCTGTCCAGTCGCTCACTCCCGAGAGAGAAAGAGAAGCAACGGGAAAAATTACAGCAAAACTTACTCTTTGCAAACATAAGGAAATAAATTATAGAACAACTCACTTTTTCAGTTGTTTCCAAAGCATTCTTTTTTCTTATAATATAAAAAATTAATGGAAGAAATAGGCACAAACTTGTTAGCGTGCTTACCTATTTTCGATGTACTGATTACGTATGCAGTGAGTACGAAGTGCCTACAAAGCGCGCGATAAGCGAAGAACTATAGCGCAAGAATGGTTACTCCTTGTCTACAGGTACTTCCCAATTCATAGTAAGAAGAAGACAAATAAAAGGCTCGATGAAACAAGAATAAACGAGAATTTCTGTCAATACTCGACACTCTTTCCTCTCTCTTGTCCGCCATTTTGTATGTTTTGAAAATGACCATCACCATGGTGATCATGTTATGGTTGGTGACGTAACCATTGTTAAGAGTTACACGCCCAACTGGACAGGGGAAATATTTGTGATTGATAAACGTAATCCAACAAAACCAATTACATATAGCATTGTTGATTTGATGGGAGAATCAATTAAAGGCTCTTTCTGCGAGCAAGATTTACAGAAAGCAAAACAGCAGACATACAGAATAGAAAAGGTTATCAGACGAGATAATAAGAAGAAAGTGGCATTAGTGAAATGGAGCCGATATCCTGATAAATTTCATTCATGGGTGAGTTTTAAGGATTTGGTTTATTTTTAATACAATATTAAAAATAAATCCTAAGATTACTCAGTTACTTCTTTATCAGAGATAACTAAGTCTTCAATAATATCATCCTCGCTTTGCTCATCTTTCTCAGTATCACTTTCACTTCCATCATCACTTTCTTGAATTGTAAGTAAAGACTGCCGGGGTTTAATTGTTTAACATAACACTCATGCACTTTGATCTGGAGAGATGTAACAGTTTTACTGATAAAGATCCCTTCGATAATTAAAGCCATACACACATGACAGTACTGATCAAGATATTTAAAAGGATTAACACTATCTTTGCCTTTTGTTTTAAACAAAGAAAGAATTTTCTTTGATTTTTCTGAGTAAATAAGTTTTGTGTAGAGAACTGGCGCGACTGAGGGGTCCATTTTTGTTTTCTTCTTTCCTTTCTTATCAGTATATTCAATCTGCTTGTAGTAAAATGGTGAAGACAGAGATGATGCTAGATCTGCGCCGTATTCATTCTCTAGATGTTGCTGGCAAATAGATGTTATATTGTTTATAGCTTCAAAAAATGCTTTTTCTTTAGGATTTGGCTCACTATCTTTAGCCCAAAGACATGTTGGAATGCTATAACCGCCTAATTTATTTGTTTCTTGGTTCTTCTTTTCGTTTACGCCAAAAGAAAAAAGGAGAGGCGTCTCGATTATTAAACTGCCTTTTTTACCATTTGGGTAACTGACTTCAATTGGAATGCGTTTGTATTTAATTTTCGAATCTTTTACTTTGTAATCCTATGCTTCCTTAAGGGAGTTAGACTGTCGTAGCTTGTAAGTGGGCTTTTGTACATTATGCTTTTGCTTCCCCACTAAACTGCTCCACCTTAATGCTCCATTTTTCCCACTAAAATGCTCGGTCTCCCCCAAAAAGTCACTAAAATGCTTGGATAATGCTCATTATACAAACGGTTTTCTTAATTAATTTCAAAGTTTACACTCACAAAAACGTGCAAGTGTTGCAAGTTTTAAACAACGACAACGTGTACAAGTTCATAAATACAGCCAAAAAAAACCAGCTGTATTAGGTTTTTTGTGAATTTTGAGTTTTAGTCTTCATTTTCTTTTAAAACGCAGGAGCTCGTGGGGCATGGGCTCCTGAAAAAAGTTAATTTCTATTTTATTTTCTCGGAAAAATTAATTTCCGGGAAAAATGCCACTAAAATGCTCGAATAATGCTCAATGCTTTTGCCTCACTAAAATGCTCGAAAAAATGCTAGCATAATGTACATAAGCCTACTTGTAAGTTGCATTTTATTACTATTTAGATAATCTTTAAATCAATAATTCAATTATATTTTTTGTTCATCTTTTTATTATAGAAAAATAAATTAAAAAAACTGGTGGTCACCAGACCTTCCCAGGAGGACTCTCCCCTCGGTAAGGTTTTTGTTTTGTACCCATAGGCCGGCCATTTACAGGGCTTTTCTTATCTCATTTTTTATTATTTATTTACGATGAAGGCGCAAGCCTTTTTCACTTCATCGTTAACAACGTATCTGGTTACTAGCACTTCCAGAGGGGGCTCGCGTTTCCCACTAGTCATACCTTCACCAAGATACACTTTAAGACTATTTCAAACTGGCCTTATATATGAATCCAATTCAATATTCTCAAGAATGTGGGATGTAATTTGTGTCCTCCTCCAAGGGGGTTTTCCCTCTGCTAATACGCAGTCTCAGTAGGGCAAATACATTTATGGGGAAATCCCCTAGTTTCTCCATTCACACAACTCATCAAAAATTCAGCAAATGGGGATTTCCCTGGATTTCTGTCTCAATTACTAGAGTACTTATAAGGGGATGCTTTTGTGAATAAACTCAAAAGTACTTTTTCCCGTCATTCTCGCGAGCGACCGACCGAGCGGAGCGAGGAAGGTGAGCGAGCTATTGTTTTTGTCCAATTCATTGAGTTTTTCTCAAAATTACAGATTTAGTTTTTAAGATAGTACAAAATAATGACTTAATTTAATAAAATACCAGTTTTTGGTGATTTGTTAAAATAGTATAGAATTAATGATGGAAATTAAACGGAAAAATTTTAATGTGGAATGACAGGATTAATCAGGGGAATGACGGGAAAAAGTACTTTTGAGTTGAGACACAAAGCATCCCCTTATAACTACTCAATTGACTAGGAATATCACGGTAAATTTTAAAAATAAGTATGATGTGATTGATTAATTTTTATCTTCTTAAAATTTTTACCATATGTATGTTTATTCTTAGCTTTAACAAGAGTTATTGAAGTACTTTTAGAAGGAGTATCCCACAAGAATTCCAATAATAATAGCCAATAAAAATAATGGGCAAAACCACGACTACGAAATAAAAAACTGGGTAGTCCAGCTTAGACTTTCTTGGTAAAAAGATCTGGATCAGAGAAAACAAAGGAACACAGGTAATTACATATTTTAATACCCAAATGAGCTGCCATGTGATAAGGTATATTGCTTTGTTAACCAGTCTTAAGTCCAACGCCGGTGGAATGTTCAGCTTGTGTGTCGATTGAGTGAAGGACAAAAATTTAACGCTGTAACTGTCAGAGGTTTCGTCACTCATATTAGAATAGTACAAGGGATCAATAGCTTTTGACTATTCAAAAGCAGCGATAGGAAAAGATTACTCAGTCATCAGATTCCTCGGCTTTGTCTGCCAACATTGTACTCGATTTTCCTTTAGAAAATAGTAATCCCTTGATCTTGCCACACGTCGGTTATTGCACAATCTCCAAATGTCGCACCGCCATCCATTGTACCCAGGCAGTCAGTTTTTGTTAAAGGCTGATAGAAAAATTGTTAATCACTGTGCTTTAGCCCGATGTAAAGACTGTAGTTACCATGATTTGACAAAAAGAGGACATAATCAGTTTTCAGAAGCATTTACTCTGATGAAGAAAAACTATAGATGTATTACAAATAAACCTGAGGTTTGAATTTTTGTACTTTAGGTAGTGCAAATTTACCACTTAAAGAGACCATTGCTCTGATCCTGTTTCCGCAAATGCCCTGACCAGCGCCGCTATTAAGGGTGTACCTTATCAGTCGATTAGTGAGATGTAGTCTTCAGTATACTCTGGGTACCAGAGGTTCAGTTTCTTGCGTAAAGCGGGATAGTTCGGTGTCGGCCTACATATCTTCGAGCTTCTTCTGCCGAAGGCCGAAGTCATGAGTGGCGACCGGAAACCGCGCATGAAAAGGAAATTGAACTTCACCTTGGTAAACAAGAAAGGACCTTAATCCGGCCCCGTCAGTAGAAACAATGCGCATTAAGAGAACTTACAAAGACAAATAACGCTTATAATTACAGCCGACCGTCCCGATGACTCGAGGGGCGATCTGTACCTATATTTAAAAGATTGTTTGTGATTGGCTGGAAAAACAATAAGGATTGTGACATAACAATGCCCCTATCCCTGAAAACAATGGAAGTGCAGATTTTAGGGGAGCAATGAAATAAGAGGTTCAGAACGGTGCAGGTCAACCATAACTCGACTGAACCTTCTAGGGAAATCGAAAAAAGTGCGAGCTGTCGGGAGTTCAAAGCAAGTAACCAAATGGCGAAAAATAAATTCTTGCTTCTTAGTTTCTATTTTTAAAATTTATTTGCTTAATTCTTTCTTCTGTATTGTATAATCTACTGTCTGTAAACTTTCCATAGTTAGCCTTATTCTTCATGATATGTACGCATTGTCCCGCCTCGAATAGCCTTGCTGGCTGCGGGCAATGCTTCTGTAATATTATTTGTTTATTAATAAAGTTTGTTGCTGTTGTAGTTGTAAGGAAATGGGATGGGGAAGGAATGTAAGTCATCACGCATACTTCATTTCAAGGGCAGCGAGAGATTTATTGATGTTTTGATTGGAGGAAAACAAAGAATACGTTGCCCTGAAATAAACTCAATGTTTCGGACAGTAGCACAATTTTTAGTTTCGACCCGAGTCATGGGGCTTAAAACATGGTTCGACTTATCGAGGGTAAAATTGTATAGAAATGATCAAATTTAAGGAAAACAAAAACGACTTCGAGTTAGCGGGAGGTTCGAGTTATCGCGGGTAAAGTTACAGTAATTGTATGGAGGAAATCAATTTGAATTCGATTTTGGTTCGAGTAAGCGCGAGGTTCGAGTTAGCGAGGGTTTGAGTTATCGAGAGCTAACTGTATACCCAATATACCTGCTTTGGTGACGAGAGGTTTTAATCTGAGCCATAGGTTTTCATCCGAGACATAGGAGGAATAGAGTTGGGTCTGATGATAGTCTAGTGTAGTATCTCGGTTCTAAGGCCTCAATGCATCACTACCATTCCAATCCTGTACCCCGATTGTTCCAAGATTATCGTAAAAGAAAAAAACGAAGTCCGACTTTGATTCTACCGTGAAGAAAACTTGATGATACTTCATCTGGCCACTATTAGGGGCTGTTTACATGGAAGGAAGAAGATCCTAGTACCAGGAAGATCCTAGAAGGCTGAGAAGGTGGAATAACTTTACGTTGGGTTTGCATGCAGAAATTTCGGCCCGTGAGTTGTCCAAGTAGAGAAGGTTAGAGAAGGAATTAAATATGGGGTAACGTAACATCCTGACACCATGAAACACTTGTGAGAGACAGCAATACGAGGGAAGTAAGCTCTCTTTAATCAGACAAGAAGTAACTTAAATATCCTGCTTATTAAATATTCACGTTGATACATTACGTAACCCTAGGATCTTAATAACAAATATAACAATGCACGCTTGGCACTCGTCACAGCGACAAAATCAAAAATGTAATTTGGGTCCTTCTGCTCTCTTTAGTGGCGTATATCACTACCTTTCAGCTGAATTAACACAATAATCTGCTTGTGGATTACTCCAAACGAAATGGGGTGGTCGGCCTTTATTGCAGTAATTAGCCACTGAACCACCCGCCGCCATTTTTGTCGCGTTTGTCCCTAGCACTGGGATCTTCTTAGCGAAAGCAGTTTACGTGGTGCTATGATCTTCCTAGTGTTAGGTGTTAGGATCTTCCTACCTCTCAAGTAGGAAGATCCTAGTACTAGGAACATCCTAGCGCTAGGGACAAGTACATGTAAACTGAATACAGAAAACATATGGCGCTAGAATGATCTGCAAAGTGGCAAAAGAGTGTCTGACAAAATAGCAAAGTGGCAAAAAGCGGGAAAAGAAAGACTGCAAATAGCAACGTAAAGACCTTCGTAATATTTATTTGATGTTTTTATAATTTTGATTCATCTTCGGGAGGTCTCGAAACTGAACTGAAAATCACTCGAAAAATAAGTGGTGAAAACACGAATATTGATTATTAATTCGAGTTTTTCTCAGGGCAGACTCAACCTTTTGGTCACGAAACATGAAGAATAATTATTGAATTCGCTATTCACGAAAAATGAAAACAGCTAATCACGAATCACGAAAATACCCTTGTACAACTTTCGGGATGGCACACTAAAGAAAGAGAGAGCGAGTCGCTTTCCTTCTTCTATCTCCTTTTTCCTCCATTTCGCGCCATTCCCCTAGGCTAAGCCCCTGGGACAGGCTAAGTGACGCCTTATACTTCGAAGCGATAGCCTCCCAGTTGTCCCAGCTGCGCATGAGTGCTGATCCCAGATGCTGCGCTGATTGTAGCCTCACTAAGGGGACCTCTACCCAAACATAAATGTTGTTGTTCGGTGTTCAGCCTGTGAGTTCTCCTAAACAGAAATCGTTTTTTCCAACCAACGTCATCGTGCGCCTGCCACAGGACTGGTGCACCTTGCAAGCTCTCCTTCCACAGAGCATCTTGTTGCGTTCCTTTCAGCCCCCGGGGAAACTATTCAATAAAGTTTTATAAGGGGAAATTCAGCCCCAAGGTCCAACCCCTTACTGACCCTTTTATATAAGGACCAATTTTAACACAAAAGGTACCCCCCTTTGGTATAACTCTTCATTACAAATGGACAGTAATTTTTAGGGAGTTATTCTAACTCCAAAAATGGAGTACACATTTTAGGTACAGGATAACCCCTTCTTTGAGGTAAGGTACTTTAACTCCTAATTTACCTCCAGGTTTGAGGTAATTTTTACTCCTGAAAAAGAGTTCTTTTTACTCCCAGTCTGGTGTTAAAATAACTCCGAAAATGTTTTTTTTTACCCCTTATATGGGTTGTTTTTACTCTTTTTACAGTTTTTTTTACAGTTCGTACTGATCTTTTGATCCAGATGCAAAATATTTAAAGCTAGAACCAACTTTAGAATTTTTACCATTAAATTTCAAGGTACCAAAGTGTGGAATTCTATAGAAGATGATACTAAACTCCTATCACTTTCAAAGTTTACGAAAAAAATGAAAACTGGATTTCCCGCAAAATTATTAACTGCGAAATATAAATTTATTCCTTGTATGTTTCAAAGCTATATTTTTGTATTCTTGTGTGCTTTTCTTTACTGCTTACTAGTTTTATCCTTTATGTGTGTTTGTTTGTGCGTCTGTGTTTTTTTTTGGTATGTGTGATGACGAGATCAAATTTTGACACCAAAATAATAATGTCAAGGTTTCATCACTCTCGACATTGCTAAAAAGGTTTTTCTACAAGGTGCTCCATTTTTGGACTCAGTTACGGTGGAGAAGTTGTTTTGAGAGGCTGATACAGATCGAGATGGGAGAGTTAGTTATAGAGATTTTGAATTCATAATAAAATACAGCATGGATGATGAGACCTAAAATAATGATTATGTTGTCTTTTATCATTAGGGAAAATATAGAGAAACTGTTTATACAATATTCAGATTTATTTCAGCACAGTAAAGAGTAAAAGAGAAAATTTAATATCCTAATTTTGAAGGTTCCAAGTTTGGCAAAAGATACCATTATTTCCACCAAAGAACTAATAAGCGAGTCACTGCCCTTGATGCTGGGATGTAGTTCTTCATGCTTTTCAAATGGCCGCAAATGGCAATAACAACTGGCCACTCATATGATCTAGCATAATCTGCATAATCCAAAACAACTGCATTTTGCCCATCTCCAATGCGACAAACTGGGATTCCTTCCTGAGTCATACTGGGAGAGAGATCGTCAATCCACTCTGGAGTAGCAACCAGGATAGCAACTTTATGATAGGAAAATCCATCCTCCTCCTTTGCCCATTCATTGATCTCATTCTTGATGATCTTAGAACAGTCGACCAATCGTTCTTCATTTGATCCATACATGTAACTTATTTTCCCCTGTAAAGTAACTTTGGGTCCACAAACATGGTGTCCAAGGTAAATTGGATGATTCCAGTATCGCTGGGCGAATTCAGTTCCGCCTGATTGTTTACCCATTGACAACTCCATGTGACACTGCAAAAAGTCATAAACCTCTGACGTGCATCTCATGACAGTTGTGAGGCTTGATGCATGGGTAAAGTTTTGCTTTTCACAGAGCTCGTTGAGAAAACTTGAAACATCCAGGTTGGTTTGTTTCATTCCAAACAGTCTATTTACAAACAATAACTGGTAGATGTCATAAGTAATCCATTGATAGAAAGAAGTACCCTGACAATGGACCAAGAATTCTCTGAATGAACCTAGTAGTGTCTCATTTGTGCTAAACAGTATTTGAAATTCATCAACAAAGACATGGACCGGTTTCATTGACATTTTTAGCACCCGAGAGAGAAAAGTACTGATGCGGTCAAACGTTACAATAGTAACCATTCCATTGGCAATTTCGTTTCTTGTGAAGAATTCCTTGTAGAGCTTATCAAGTGGCGGGGATACCATTATAAGTACCATTTCATTCTTCTTTGCACATTCAAGTGCTTTGTATTGGAGTAGAATCGTCTTTCCACTTCCTGGGGCGCCACAAAAGAGCTGGTGTAATGGTCCCTCCCATATGCCCAGTTGCTCCATGTTTAAGAACACGAACTGTTTTGCCAGAATTCTCAAACCTGTGGCATCAGCTGGCCTTACCACCACAGGAGACCCACTAGCTCCCTTTCTTGTCATCTTCGCGTGGCTTCTTTCAAGAAACCTTTGCTCATCAATGGTTTTAAACACTTCACTGAGTATTTGGGTTGTGGCGCTTATTGCACTTCTCTGACCTACAAATACGGAAATCAAGCTCAATAGCTTCTCTTTTTCTTCCTCAAAAGACCTCTGGGTGAAATGCTGTTTCCACCACAACTCGAAATGTTGCAAATTGTCATCTTCTTCGTCGTCTGTCATACCAAGATGAATCTTTCGGAGGTCAATAAAATCATTAGCACCACGTCCCTCATCGACGACGTTTGGCATTGCAATGACTCTGTAGACAGGAATGTCTAAGTCCTTTGCTTTCAAAAGTGCTTGAACGAATTTTTCTCCAACTTGAAGCTGTCTTTTTGCATCAAGATACCGATTTGTTTTGAACTTTTCTGTGGCTTTCACTTCGATGAGTATGACACCAGTACGCCGATGTACGATGAGAAAATCTATTTCTCGAGAGAGGTCTGTTTCGCTGAGATCGGCAAACAGAGATTGAACATATTCGCTTGGGAGGTTTTGTAGGAGGACTTGATCGATGAATTCTTGAAATTGAAATTTCGTTATGACGAGCATTGGCTGATTCGTTTCTCTCCCATATTTATCAAGGGCCCTAAAGATCCGTAACTCGGCTGAATCTCCCTTGATGTCCAATTCCTCAGACTTGCTAAGTCCTACAGCACCGGATGCTGCACCAGTTGGGGCTGTATAACGGAATGGAAATGCTGGAGGGAACATGTATGTTCGATCACTTGTCTTCCAGTCAGGCCAGAGTCTGTTGAGGTATTCTTCACAAGCTTCCTCGAAAATACAAAAGTACTTGCCCGCTGAATCCTTCACTACACACGGCGAAGCCATTGCTGCACCAAACACGGAAGTAATGTACGTGTTTGCTTTGCTACCGCGCCTGATTCCAAAGGCCGCGGACCCGACCCCAAGGAATATTTTTTGGCCATGTCTCAAAAGGACTGGAAACAAACGAATTCAAGAATTTGATTGACCGCGGTCTAGATTTTCTACAGCGGTCTTGTTTTAAACAGTTGTCCTCAAAAAGTTACAAACAAAGAATATGAAAAATTGGCTTGTTTGTACTACGAAAGCCGAGGAGGGTCTTCCGACTTCTGACTTCCGATTTCCAACTTCCGACTTCCCACTTAAGCTTCTAACTTCCGACTTCCGACTTGACTCCTCTGGCAGGCTCGACTGCCGCTCGATCAGCCACGCGGGTATTAATGCTCAAGGTCAAGGCTCAGTAGAAAGAACGGCTGTACCGTTCTAGCCACAAAAGAAAACAACTAAAGTTGCTCTTATAAAGGCAACTAAGCACAGAGCCAGTCAGGCAACTGATGAAGAATCGCATTTTCTTTAGAAAAACACTAAGCTGGAATCTACTGAGTCGCAATGCATTCGCCATAGTTGATGCAGCTTCATTTTAAGCTGCACTTCATTCTTATCACTTTGGATCTGTAAATGACTATCCGTGATAATTTAACATCCTGCAAAGAAAACTAACGAGCTGGGCCCAGCGTGATACAGCATTGCATATTCACGGACTAAAAACAGTCATATAGTTATTCAGGTCCAGAAGGCACTTTGGAGGAAATTAAAGCCAGTACTCGGCCGTAATAAAAAGCTTTAAAGAACATGCTCTTGCATCAGAGGGCAAATATCCTGCCGACCAGAAACAACAACCACAGTAAATCGATATGTATGCCATGACCTCTCAGTGTGAAATAGGCGGCTTAACCAGAACCTTCTAGAGCGTAATCTACCCAGCAGAAGGGAAAAAAACGTTTTTGGAACAAGCAGCATTTTAGCATAAGGTAAAAGTCGTGTAGGCCTATCACCGCCTTTCATTGCTACGGAAGTTGGAAGTCGGAAATCAGAAGTCGGAAGTTGGAGGTTGGATGTTGGAAGTCGGAAGACCCTCCTCGGCTTTCGTGTTGTACAAAGTGTACACAAAGCTGGACTTTGAACAGTTATTTTAGTCCCGTTTGGACTGGAGACTAGTGACAGAAGAAAGCCAGCTAAATACTTGAGCCTGCGCAGGGAACCAAATAAAATTATTTATGTTTTTGTTCCCTTGCTTTCTTGTTTGGCCATATAATAAACATCTTATTAACCGAGCTAGGTCGGTCTGTATGGGAGAATCTTGACCTCGGTCGCTGGTACAGACCTCACTGCGTTCGGTCTGTACTGGCGACCGAGGTCAAGATTCTCCCATACAGACCTCCCGCTCGGTTAATAAGAGCTAAATAATCGTCAAATTTACCAATTTCAGTATGAAACAGGTTTGCAAGCTGAAAAAAAGGCGATTAATTCTTTTCTCAGGTTAAGGTGGCTTGACTGGATTTTTCGAGGGATACTTACCTCCCAAGTTTGAGCATTTACTACGTCGCCATTAACAAATATATCTGAAAAAGTTTACCATAGCTACAAATTTACTACGATCCATGTTTCAATGACATCGGAGTTGCCATGGTAGCGTAACGATGTCATTACTTTTTTTACTTGCTTTGTATTTCTGGGTATCATGCGTTTTTTTTTTTCACAAATCGCTTAAGGGGGCTTGTACCTCGCTTGGCTGCCTCGTTTATGGTAACATTTGAACGATTTTTTCAGAGCGTTTTGGAAATACTTTGAAAAAAAGTTTTAAGGGTCAGAAAAACAGTGAATAACTATGCTATCGACATAATTGGCTAATATCTAAAGAACATGACGACGTCTGTAAATGCACTTTCATCTCATAGTGATTTGATGCCATTCTAAACTGTGTACGAAAAAAGTAAAGAGAGGGATTGCTTGGCAGCTAGATTCCAGGAAAGAGGAATTTGATTAGCCTACATACGTGGTAACGAAAGCAGCTAAACGCATGTAAGTTGGTTCACACCTACAAACTTCACGGTAATTTAGAAACCGCGAGTGGCCCTTATATCCGGCTAACCGGCTTTTACCACCCTAATCGAGATGATGATGATGATGATGGTCGCGCTGACCGCTCGTCTCCCCTGCACCATTTTAGTATCGTTCCGGGAGCCTTTTTACTCAGTAATAACGTCATCCTCGATCAGTTTTACTTCATCTTTAATCAGTTTTGAAAAGATAGCATGGGCAACGAGATCTGAATTGGGACCTTAGATACACCATTTCTGCCCATGGGTACTGGTAGGGAAAAATGTTTTGCAACCGTTGTGTTAATACGGAAGGGAGTGATGCGTACCCAAATGTGGTATTCCCGTAAATGATCTAACTGACCCCCCTCCCCCTCAAGTAAACGCCTCTTATCTAGAAAACGCCCCCTCTACGATGTTCAGTTTGTATTAGACTCCCTCTTCAATAGACGCCCCCGTCTAATAGACGCCCCTCCCCCACCCGTGACCGTTCTCAAAAATACTAGGAATTAACAAAAAGAAGCAAAATCATTCAATTTTTTCATTTTGTTGCTTGATTAACAAGGGTTTGCGCATTGCATCTTGATCAATGTCAAGTTCAAAATAAGAAGGACTAAAGATGCAACACAATGATCTGGTAGGCCTAGCCTTCGGGGTAAGAGATGGTCTACCCGTAATTACGACTAAGAGTATGGGTAAGTTGCACGAACTCCTACACTGGAAACAGTGAACCTTCGCTTGCTGATCTTAAGGTCTCCATTTAGAGTCTCTCCCGCCGAAGACCCTAAATATAACCTCAGAAAAGGTTTCTTCGAAAAAAGCTTAGGGCAAGTGTAGACATTCTGCTCAGCTTTTTCAAGCACACACGCCAGAGCAAGTGTCAAAATATGAAGATAAGTAATAGTAGCTGCGTACAAAATATTTGTTTTTTTCTTTCATTTTTTTTGTTTTGTTTTTAAACTAATACATTAAAATTTAGTAAAGATGAAGGGTATCAAGACCTCCTTTACATTTTCCTTTTTTTAAACTGACTGATGCAGTTCAATAGATTTCAAATGGTAGACCATACAGGGGAAAGATTAGTAATCGGCTCCCGACAAACACTGTAATTTTACTGGAACTGCGGTACTATCACAGAGCATGGGTTACCTGTGATACGAATAAGGGTTTTGGGGGTTTTCTCAAGGTGTGTCCTCCCGATATAAAACGTAGCCGTGAACCCCTCTTCATAGGCTCGATTTCCAACCGTTCTGGTTTACTTCCAACTCGAAACAGGCAATCGGTGCCAGTAAAACGCGGGGTCGGGATCTATCTGCTGTTTTAGGGTTAGGGTTACGGTTAGGGTTAGGCTAACCTTAACCCTAACCCTAAAACACTCCGCGTTTTACTGACACCCCGAGTAATCATCGGGCTTACTATCCCCAGCAATTGACTTGGAATATCACGGTAAATTTTAAAAATAAGTATGATCTGGTTGATTAATTTTTATCTTCTTAAAATTTTTACCAGATGTATGTTTATTCTTAGCTTTAACAAGAATTATTGAAATACTTTTAGAAGCTTGTATCGCACAAGAATTCCAATAATCAGGGGCACCCAACGAGAATATAGTTCAATTTAACCACTTAACATAGCATTGTTGAACGTATTTCAGTATTTAAACGGTAGATATAGGCATATTTTTTATCCCCTAAAAACCTTTCATCTGTTCGGATATCCTAGCTGAAAGTCTAGTAGTCCGAAAATTATAGGGATCAAAACTTACCTTTTCGAAAATTTCAGTTAGGAAAAGGCTCCCGAAAATTCTAGGTGGGTAAAAATCCGTTAAAAATGGGTAATTATACCATTTTGTAGATGTTCGAAAATCCTAGGAGAGGCAGGCAAGCAAGAGATTTTACAATAAATGTTCCGAAAATTCTAGATCTCAAATCGTCTTCCGAACAGATATTTTCCGAAAATTGCCTTTGGGTGCCCCTGAATAATAATAGCCAATAAAAATAATGGGCAAAACCACGACTACGAAATAAAAAACCGGGTAGTCCAGCATAGACTTTCTTGGTAAAAAGATCTGGATCAGAGAAAACAAAGGAACACAGGTAATTAGATATTTTAATACCCAAATGAGCTGCCATGTGATAAGGTATATTGCTTTGTTAACCAGTCTTAAGTCCAACGCCGATGGAATGTTCAGCTTGTGTGTCGATTGAGTGAAGGACAAAAATTTAACGCTGTAACCGTCAGAGTTTTCGTCACTCATTATATTAGAATAGTACTAGGGATCGATAGCTTTTGAGATAGTCAAAAGCAGCGATAGGAAAAGAGTACTCAGTCGTCAGATCCCTCGCCTTTGTCTGCCAACATTGTACTCGATTTTCCTTTAGAAAATAGTAATCCATCTTGCCACACGTCGGTTTTATTGCACAATCTCGAAATTACGCACCGCCATCCATTGTACCCAAGCAGTCAGTTTTTGTTAAAGGCTGATGGAAAATTTGTTAATCACTGTGCTTTAGCCTGATGTAAAGACTGTAGTTACAATTACTTGACAAAAAGAGGACATAATCAGTTTTCAGAAGCATTTACTGTGATGAAGAAAAACTATAGATGAATTACAAATAAATGACTCAACTATTTAAACCTGAGGTTTGAATTTTTGCATTTTAGGTAATGCAAATTTACCATCTAAAGAGACCATTACTCTGATCCTGTTTCCGCAAATGCCCTGACCAGCGCCGCTGTTAAGGGTGTACTTATCAGTCGATTAGTGAGATGTAGTCTTCACAGTCTTCAGTATACCTTGGGTACCAGAAGTTCAGTTTCTTGCGTAAAGCGGGATGGATCGGAGTCGGCCTACATATCTTCGGCCGAAGGCCGAAGTCATGACTGGCGACCGGAAACCGCGCATGAAAAGGAAATTGAACTTCACCTTGGTAAACAAGAAAAGGTCTTAATCCGGCCCCGTCAATAGAAACAATGCGCATTAAGAGAACATACAAAGACAAATAACGCTTATAACTACAGCCGACCGTCCCGATAACTCGAGGGGCGATCTCCACCTATATTTAAACGATTGTTCGTGATTGGCTGGAAAAACAATAGGGATTGTGACATAACAACCCTATCCCTGAAAACAATGGAAGTGCAGATTTTAGGGGAGCAATGAAATAAGAGGTTTAGAACGGTGCAGGTCAACCATAACTAGACTGAGCCTTCTAGGGAAATCGAAAAAAGTGCGAGCTATTGGGAGTTCGAAGCAAATAAGTTCTTTTGTAATATGTTATCTACTGTCTGTAAACTCAGTTCCATAGTTAGCCTTATTCTTCATGATATGCACGCATTGTCCCGCCTCGAATAGCCTTGCTGGCTGCGGGCAATGCTTCTGTAATATTATTTGTTTATTAATAAAGTTTGTTGCTGTTGTAGTTGTAAGGAAATGGGATGGGGAAGGAATGAAAGTCATCACGTATACTTCATTTCCAGGGTAGCGAGAGATTTATTGATGTTTTGATTGGAGGAAAACAAAGAATACGTTGCCTTGAAATAAACTCAATGTTTCGGACAACAGCACAATTTTTAGTTTCGACCCGAGTCATGGGGCTTAAAACATGGTTCGACTTATCGAAGGTAAAATTATATAGAAATGATTAGATTTAAGGAAAACAAAAACGACTTCGAGTTGGCGGGAGGTTCGAGTTATCGAGGGTAAAGTTACAGTAATTGTATGGAGGAAATCGAATTCGATTTTGGTTCGAGTAAGCGCGAGGTTCGAGTTAGCGAGGGTTCGAGTTATCGAGAGCTAACTGTATACCCAATATACCTGCTTTGGTGACGAGAGGTTTTAATCTGAGCCATAGGTTTTCATCCGAGACATAGGAGGAATAGAGTTGGGTCTGATGATAGTCTAGTGTAGTATCTCGGTTCTAAGCCCTCAGTGCATCACTGCCATTCCAATCCTGTACCCCGATCGTTCCAAGATTATCGTAAAAGAAAAAAACGAAGTCCGACTTTGATTCTACCGTGAAGAAAACTTGATGATACTTCATCTGGCCACTATTAGGGGCTGTTTACATGGAAGGAAGAAGATCCTAGTACCAGGAAGATCCTAGAAGGGTGAGAAGGTGGAATAACTTTAGGTTGGGTTTGCATGCAGAAATTTCGGCCCGTGAGTTGTCCAAGTAGAGAAGGTTAGAGAAGGAATTAAAAATGGCGTAACGTAACATCCTGACACCATGAAACACTTGTGAGAGACAGCAATACGACAAACGAATACGAGGGAAGTAAGCTCTCTTTAATCAGACAAGAAGTAACTTAAATATCCTGCTTATTAAATATTCACGTTGACACATTACGTAACCCTAGGATCTTAATAACAAATATAACAATGCACGCTTGGCACTCGTCACAGCGACAAAATTAAAAATGCAATTTGGGTGCTTCTGCTCTCTTTAGTGGCGTATATCACTACCTTTCAGCTGAATTAACACAATATTCTGCTTGTGGACTACTCCAAACGAAATGGGGTGGTCGGCCTTTATTGCGGTAATTAGCCACTGAACGATCCGACGCCATTTTTGTCGCGTTTGTCCCTAGTACTAGGATCTTCCTAGCGAAAGCAGTTTACATGGTGCTCTGATCTTCCTAGTGTTAGGTGTTAGGATCTTCCTACCTCTCAAGTAGGAAGATCCTAGTACTAGGAACATCCTAGCGCTAGGGACAAGTACAACCCTTTGCATGTGAACTGAATACAGAAAACATATGGCGCTAGAATGATCTGCCCTCTAGGATCTTCCTGGTACTAGGATCTTCCTCCCCCAATGTAAACATCTCCTAAGTCTTTTCAGTTCCTGAAGTACATTCAGCTGTGCAGTCAGCTTGTAAAGTATGGTTTTTTTACCTTGTTCTTACGCAAAGAAAAAAGTGGCAAAAGAGTGTCTGACAAAACAGCAAACTGGGCAAAAAGCGGGAAAAGAAAGACTGCAAATAGCAACGTACAGACCTTCGTCATATTTATTTGATGTTGTTATAGTCTTGATTCATCTTCGGGAGGTCTCGAAACTGAACTGAAAATCACTGGAAAAATAAGTGGTGAAAACACGAATATTGATTCTTAATTCGAGTTTTTCTCAGGGCAGACTCAACCTTTTGGTCACGAAACATGAAGAATAATTATTGAATTCGCTATTCACGAAAAATGAAAACAGCTAATCACGAATCACGAAAATACCCTTGTACAACTTTCGGGGATGGCACACTAAAGAAAGAGAGATCTAGTCGCTTACCTTCTTCTATTTCCTTTTTCCTCCATTTCGCGCCATTCCCCTAGGCTAAGCCCCTGGGACAGGCTAAGTGACACCTTATACTTCGAAGCGATAGTCTCCCAGTTGTCCCAGCTGCGCATGAATGCTGATCCCAGATGCTGGGCTGATTGTAGCCTCACTAACGGGCCCTCTCCCCAAACATAAATGTTGTTGTTCGGTGTTCAGCCTGTGAGTTCTCTTACAAGTTTTCTTCTAGCTCTCCTAAACAGAAATCGTTTTTTCCAACCAACGTCATCGTGCGCCTGCCACTGGACTGGTGTACCTTGCAAACTCTCCTTCCACAGAGCATCTTGTTGCGTTCCTTTCAGCCCCCCCCGGTGGGGGGGGGGGGGGGGCTATTCAATAAAGTTTTATAAGGGCAAATTCAGCCCCAAGGTCCAACCCCTTACTGACCCTTTTATATGCGGACCAATTTTAACACAAAAGGTACCCCTTTGGTATAACTCTTCATTACAAATGCACAGTAATTTTTAGGGAGTTATTCTAACTCCAAAAATGGAGCACACATTTTAGGTACAGGATAACCCCTTCTTTGGGGTAAGGTACTTTACCTCCAGATTTGCGGTAATTTTTACTCCTGAAAAAGAGTTCTTTTTACTCCCAGTCTGGTGTTAAAATAACTCCAAAAATGGGGTTTTTGTGACTCCTCATATGGGTTGTTTTTACTCTTTTTGGAGTTACTTTAACTCTTAAAGTGGAGTAAAAATTTTAGGTACAGGATAACTCCTTTTTTGGGGTTATTTTAACTCCTCAATTTCTGGGGTCATTTTTACTCTTGAAAAAGAGTTCTTTAAACTCCTTTTTGGAGTTAAAATAACTTCTTGAAAATTACTGTGTGGTGCCCCTTTCACACACCTAGTTTAGAACGATGCAACCCCTTCAACTTTCATAAATGCACTTTTAGTACTGAACCCATTCGCCCCTGCAGATTTTACCGAAAAATGCGTTTTGAAGCAGGTCGAGCGGTTTTCTGATCACTGCTGTGCTATAAAGAGCTAAAACTTACCTCAAAGCCGTTTACAGTTCATACTGATCTTTTGATCCAGATGCAAAATATTTAAAGCTAGAACCAAGTTTGGAATTTTTACCATTAAATTTCAAGGTACCAAAGTGTGGAATTCTAAAGAAGACGATACTAAACTCCTATCACTTTCAAAGTTTACGAAAAAAATGAAAACTGGATTTCTCGCAAAATTATTAACTGCGAAATATAAATTTATTCCTTGTATGTTTCAAAGCTATATTTTTGTATTCTTGTGTGCTTTTCTTTACTGCTTACTAGTTGTATCCTTTATGTGTGTTTGTTTGTGTGTCTGTGTTTTTTTTGCTATGTGTGATTGCGACACGTACCTTATGTAATATTCCATACCGATTTCAGATAATATTTATTTTAGGGAAAGTTCATTTAATATGACAAGGGGGGATGAAGATATTGAGGGGGGGGCTCCGAAAATTTGTAGGCACCCGAAGGGGGGGTTCTGAAAAAATTGTTGCGCTAGGAGGGGGGGTTCCGAAAATTTGTATACTTCAAAACCAACACATGACATCATCATACAGATCGGATGGTTTTCAACTCAACAATTTAATGACCTGTGCAACTCAGCTATATCACGTGGTTTACAGATATAACAAATGTAGTCTCAGTAATTATTACACTCTTGTTCATCCTAAAAATGCTTTAGAAAATTGTATCACAACTGTATCTCAAGTTTGTCATAGTATAAACCATTGAAGACAATAACGGTAAATATATTTAATACAGTCTAGCGATCTTTTTTCAGGGGAGCAAAGGAATTGAAGGAGGAGGGGGGGGGGGCTCTGAAATTTTTTCGACTACCAAGGAGGGGGCTCCTAAAAAATTGAACCGCTAGCGAGGGGGGCTGCTAAAATTTCAAGCTTCGAGTTTCAATATCTTCATCCCCACCCTGTCATATTAAATGAACTTTCCCTTACGCATTTGTAAAGAAAATGGCTGTCTAGTCTTTCTAACCCCCGTGGTTATTCCAGAAAGCCACTCAAAAATTATTATTAGCTTGTTATAATCTTACAGTAAAATTGTTGTTGTTGTTGTTGCGAAGTTCGGGCATGCACAGAAAGCAAAATACACAAACACAGCAGTCTTGACTTTTACTTTTCTGTTTCTCTCCTTCCCTTTATTTTTCGCTTTTCTTGCCTAATTTTTTTTTTTCTCTTGCTGGGCATTTAGTAGGCTTCATGTTGGTTGGAAAAGGTTTTTGGGAAAGCTTTTAGGATCTTAGGATTAGATGAAAGGAAAGATAGGTGGGTAGGGCAACAAGATTTTCATGGAAATTTTGAGGTCAATGTCACATGGTTTTTAACCTGAGATAAGGCCCAATTTTAGCGGTTCTCATACGTTCTCGCTAACGGCTTCGCCTTGCCCGCCGGAATGTAATTTTCAAAGCGAAACGAAAATAGAGCCTGATCTCAGGTTACCTGGTTTTTTGCCTTTTTCTCTGGTGTCCTTGACTGAATTGTGCTCATTCGGTTTTGTTTGAAAGATCTCTTCACTCTGCACAAGTTAGCGGAAAAATTGTCCACAGATGACGTCATAAGCGGTCAAAAAAAGGACGTGAATACGCACGGGCGGCTCAGGTGCGAAAGGGTTAGATATGAAATGTATCACTCAAATCACACGAAGTTTTGTTGACTTTTCCACATCGAGAAAATGCGTCCGTTACGTCAGGAGCAGGACCTTTTGCAGACCAAAATTACAGATTTTCTTACCCTTTCACGTTCTGGTCAACTAGTGGAATCTCTACCCTCTTATATACCTGACTGAAACCTGAAAAAGGCACCCCTTTCGGGCGGAGCCTCCCCCGGGGAGCCTCCTCGTTTTGGCCATTATAGGGAGTGCCCCCCGGACCTTCAGCTTGCATACACACTGCAGACTTGCACACTGGAAAACCCCATGCTCATAAATAGCTTCCGCGCGTTTCACACGCGTGTTTATGTTTCTTGTTTTCGTACAAAGAGGATAACTCGACGACCCCACTTTGACCCTGTAAGATTTAAGAAACGAAGGAATTTGAATAGCAGGACATGTAACTATTTATCACATTTCCTGAGGCTCATAAATGTTTTTCGGAGCTTTTTTGATGAAAAATACCAGTTCCTTCCTCTGTGATTACAAGTCCATGTCGCCAGTTTGAAAATATTTGCCTAAACACCGCGAAAAAGATTTTCATGACTTGCTACATTCAGGTACTTATGCCAGTTTAAGTGTTTGTAACGATCGGAACGTTGGGGTAGACTTTGATCTTCCTATCACAGCATTTTCCTTATCTCTTTCGAAATGCATGACAGAAGTGTTACACTTAGCTCCACAATGTCCAATAGGCCAATATTTGCGTCTATTTCTCGAGAAAAACTGGCCTACATCGAAATTCCTAAGAATCTTCGCATTTTCCGATTTTTGATCTGATGGTTGTCACGTAAACTACAAATAGGATGAAAAGAAGAAGAAACAGGGATTTTCTCTGGGCTATTCTGCGAGTTAAGAATAAAAGATCACATCGCAAGACGTATTTATTGCTGATTTCTCGTGAGATAAAGGGGTACGGTCGGTATGACATGCGATGCTTTCTCATAAGGGTCTGTTCCGGCATGAGTTGTCAACGCGCGATCAATTGCACGCGTGGAATTTTTGCAGATGGCTAACGCTGTAGCTGTCAAGTGCCCGGACAATGGCTTACCATTCTGTGGGCCAATCATCCGTTTAGGCGAACAATGGCCACACTACGGGGCGGAGATCTACATAGGCAAAGTATCTCAAAGATTTGAACCGCATACACCATACCGCGCTGTTATTGTAGGAGCCGGGTTCTTATTGGTTTATTTGCTCAAACAATGCACATATCAAACACTTCGATCTGCGGGGAAATAAATTGTCCAAATAACTAGACTGGGGTAAAATTAGAAGCTTCATGAGCGAAATCCAAATCCCGTACGTTGTTTTCTGCGAGCTTTTCATAGGATTTGTGGTTTACACGCTGAGCTCGACGCGCAAAGGACAATGTTAATGAAACCACTGAACCGGACATAGCCGCGAAAAAATTCAAATCGCGAACAAAACCGCTGTAGTATGGTATGATGTGACTGATGGCCGAACATGGCGAGTGAATGAGAGAGAAGTGTGGCAAACGTTATGCCAAAAAAGAAAACTTGCGAAGTCCCTCTCCCTTTAGGTTGGGAAGAAGCGAGGGACTTCGATGGACGAGTTTATTACATCGACCACAACACCAAAAGAACGTCTTGGGTCGATCCGCGCGATAGGTGAGTGTATAGGGTTAGTGAACCGTGGCTGCTACTTGGAACGAAATCCCGGTGATGTTTTGTCATTGAACCAACGCTGAAGCGGCCATTTGCTTTATTTTAAACATAGAGCTATCGTTCGTCTGCTCGTAAGGCTCTTACCGAAGCGAATGGCCGCTTTAAAGTGCTGGAAAAGTTTTTCAGTTCACAATTCACTGGGTATCTTTGAACCCCTTGTGTGTCATCCACAAGTATTAATGCTATTTTTATGGAATTTACACATTTCTGGCGATTAAAGGAGTTAAGCGGGGATAGATCGAACTTGTTAGTGTACATTTGGATCGTGTTTGATCGTTGATGTTTAGTAAAAACCCAAATATCTTTTGGAAGTACTCATTTGAAGCACCTATAGCGAGCCAAATGTTTCGTAACTGTCGCTTTGTTATTCCTACAGTCCTTTCCGTTCGAGATTTATTATTCTCAAATATTTCAGTTATGTAGGAACTTAGCGCATTCAATACGGCGAAAATTCACCTTTAGTCGGTGTCTGTTCTTTTACCACCTGGAAAGTCTTCGTAAATGTCTCGCAGAAAGTTACATTTACGTAAAACTCTCAAAATGCAGCGAGTTTTTTCTTGTAGAGGAAATCGTTAATGCGTCAAGTATATACCTCTAATACCTGAAATTCTATCATTGAATCGCATCGATAGTTTTGCCTTCAGTTAGCTAGGTATCGAAAGTTTAGTTTTTGAAAGTTTAGCGACCCCTATGAAATGATGCCTCGAATAAAGTTTTCGATCTATCGACTGGGTTGGAACAAAAAAGATCTTGCAATTATGTGAGGTATGTGCGCGTGTCGTTCATTATATCATACGGAGTCTCTTTTCAAGGTTTAGTGCATTAACTAAAATTGTAAGCACCGAATGCTTGCAAATTGAGGCTCGTTAGTTTGCAAAACCATGCATTATTTCCTAAGGAGACACTTTGAATAAGCAAGATTTCTTTATAAGTGGCCGGCCGCGGTGAAACATAACAACATATATTTTTAATGAACGTTTATGACAACACGTTACGGGCGTCTAAAAATAACAAACTCTGTCTTAAATTGTTTTACGCTCGGTTTCTATCCCTTCCCACTGCACCTGTTTTGGTTAAATTTTCCTTACAGCGCCGGCGGACACTCGATCTTTATAAACGTAAACAGCTCTTCTCCCAATTTTAACTTTTCTGTCTTCGAGATAACGCAGGTTTAAAGCAGCAGAATATCGCCAACATTCCATTATCCTGAGCGAATCATAAACAAAATACAGCGTAAAATGTCTTCTGATATTGTAAAGTTTGAATCTTATTTTGTCTTTGGTCAGTGGTCGCTGCGTTATCATAAATGTCACTAATGAAATCAAATTATGTGAAATTCGTGTTTTGCTATTTTGTTGAGTATTATATTTATTACACTTAAGTAATTCTTCAAGTAGATTTCACGCTCGATTTTTTGTAGATCTGTTTGCTTTGTTTTAGCGCTGTATTTGCAGGTTTTGGTTTTAAAAGTATCACTAGAATTGTGTAAAGTTGCTACTTTGTATTTTATTCGATAAAGAATTCAACGTAGGTTTTCTGTGGCAACATGCCAAACCGATTCAATTATTCATCTGTTTCGCTTTTCGGCGATAAATAATAGCAAATATAACACATAGCGTAACACGCATTTGCCAATGGTGCGATTTGAGGCTTTGTACAAATTGACTGAAAATTTATCACACTTTCAGCCAGCTTAACATTCTCCAGTACCATGCCAGAGCTTCCATGCTTCAAATTATTGTTTTGTTAACAAAATAAGATTAATTTCAACCATTCAACAACATTAATTTGATGAGATTTAAACTATATCTTGTGAGAAATTGTTTTTTCTTGCATACCCTGAAGGCTTTTCGGAAATAATGGCAAAGGAATGTGTTCACAGAGTTATACATGTCAAGTGTTGCCATTTATTATTTCATTAATTACAAACTAATGATGGTCTAACAAAAGATATGGAAGAATTCCAAGTTGAGCTAGCAGGTGGTGACAAAGTTTCATCACCCAGACATACGGGCAGTGGAGCATTAAGACACAGTTTACAGCTTGGAAAGACATAAATTGTTTACTTTAATGCTTAACAAATTTATTGAAAACTTGTCTGAATTTTCCACAAGGAAGGTAGAATCTCTATTTTATGCACCAACTTACAATAGTATGTTAAGTCAAATGCGAAAAAGCTATTAACTGCAAGATCAGGTAGAATTAATGAGAGGTACCATGCGTGCATTATGGTTTAAGAAACATCTTCAAATCTTTAAAGTTCTAAACTGTATTTCCAAAGGTTTTCCCAGAAATATAATGTGACATAGATTTATCCGCAAATATGTCTTTTTATATTGTACCAGGTTAATTACTACTAGACTAATGGAGTCATGAGTAGCAGCTTATTTTTGTTTACCTCTGGAACTACATGTGAACACATTGTTTCATGTAATCGTATTTGCCCACTGGTTAGGAAGGCCACATTATAGAATATTTGTCATTCTACAAAGGATTTCATGAGATCAGTATTGATCTTTAAAATGTACACATCTACAGTGTCTCTCTTCTCTTGACCAAGGCTGATTAAATAATGGGATCGAATCAAATGATTAATATAAAATACCATAGAATACTATGTGTTGGTGTCATTTTTTTAATGACTACAATATTTGTCAGCCTAGTACTAGGTTCTGGAACATTCTTTTCCAAAAAATAGAAAATGCTTAAAAGCGGATGCAGACAGATGGAATTGTGCGAGTTTTTTAGTTGTAAACATATCCTCTCAGTTTGAGAATTTTGTTATTTAAAGTATTTATGAGCGTGTGAAATGTCATAGTTTTCCTACAATACATAAACAGGCTAGGACGTGAAATCACGCATGCAGGACAGTTCTAACCTTTGAACCTATTAATGCGTAAAATTAGAGCAATAATTTTAGAGTTCTGTTCTAAATTAGAGTTGTCTTTTTTACACTGGTGAAAGTATTAAGCTTTTTTATCCTCCAGATTAAAATTTTAAAATTAAAACTAAATGCTTTATGATTTTTATATCACAGTTTTAAGAATTTGGTGGCTCATTGAGGTGATAAGATCTATCTGATAGTCATGTATTTATATCATAATGGTCTGTCTGTCTGAATAGTAAATATTTGAATCAATACCATATGTTTCATGTGCAGAAATGTTTCAATGCAAAATCAAGAATGAGTTAGTTTTTAAATGTAAAAGAAATGCACATTTATTTGAGTGTCAATGTATTTAGCACAAAAGGACTAATTGGGGACACTATTTTTATGTCTCCTCCTGGAGACAGGACAGCCATTTTACGTGTTCATCCAAGCCACCCGAAGGTCTAGCCACTTGCAGACTGTACCTTCAGTTCTCAGGTACTATTTTAAGACCCTTAGTATTGGTCCGGGCCCCAGGAATCGAATAGAAAAATGTGATGTTACATGTTACCCACACAGGTACCCAAGATAAAACTCTGGCTCCTTGTAACAGTATACAACAATGATATTTAGAATGTTAAAAATAGGAGGATCACAAAGTAGTTTCTACATAATTGTATCATTATACTTTGCACAGGTTGACCAAGCCAATGACCTTTGCTGATTGTGTAGGAAATGGTATGTGTTACTTTTGAATCATATTGAACCATTAGCCGTGATAACAGTAATTAATTTGGATCTTGGTATCCATCTATGCTAAAAAAGAGGATCTTCATCATAAGTGATTCATAATGCAAAATTCTTTTGCGATGAATTCCTCTAAGGAGAGTGAAACCTTTAACCTTATCATAACTAATTTAGATACTACTAACCATGCAGTATTATAGAGACTATAATATGTCCCATAGACTGCTTGGTTTGACATGTTGAAAGATGAATCAGTTTACAATTTGTGATGTTCGGAGGGGTGCTGGTAATGTCTTTAGGATAGAAAGTACATTATTCAGTCACAGATGCAATTTACCCCAGCTAGTAACGTCTGCGAAGCAGTGTCAAGATCCCTGTTCTGGGCTGTCAATGGACTTGACAAAGTACTGGGAATGCACTTCGATTTTCCCTTCAACCTGTTTGGCAAATTAACAATAGTTCTTCAACAGGCCAATCGTGGGGTGTACTCAAATCTTTGTAAACATTTGGGGCCCAGAACAAGGTTTTTTGCACTGGCTCGCAGACAAACTTGACCAGAGGTTTACCGGTAATTCCAGTTGTAGTGCAGGCTATGAGTTTGTGTAAATTGGTAAGATTTATTCTTAGTAGTAGTCAATAATTTGGGCTGCTTACAGTGGTGTATGAAAATAAAAATATTCTTTAAATGTATTTATGTGTCCTAAGGTATATTCCAATGATCTTTATCCTTAAGGTGTAGAAATTTAGAGTCTCTAGCTTAGGAATATACATCATTTTATTCATGAGCTATGTTCCCTTGCGATCCAGTAAAATATCTTTCAGCAGAATTTTAGATAATTTTCTCTAAATTCTAGAGTTGCCATTTGGTTGGGAGGAGGTCAATGACCCAGTCCTTGGAAAGTATTTCATTGATCATAATACTGGTAAGTTTTTCCCAAGTGGTACTTGACAGTTTAGTCTAGCTAATAAAAGGTAATAGTTACTTTTTATTAGTTATTATTGTGATTTTTCACAATTATTGTAATTTTATTGTAATTATTTGTTTACCCATGAAGCACTTAGGAGCTCTTATGAACTCCTTTAAATGTGTCTGTGCATTGGAATTTGGAAGTGTTAGTTTTTGAGGAGAGGGGAAAACCAGAGTACCCAGAGAATAACTTTTTGGAGCAAGGGAGAGAACCAAGAACGAACTCGACCCGCATATGGCGTTGACGCTGATATTTGAACCCGGGCCACATTGGTGGGAGGCGAGTGCTCTCACCACTATGCTACCCTTGCTCCCCAAAAGTTTTATATAGACAGTGCATCTTGATTTTTTTGTGGTAGAATTAATTATTGCAGGTCGCAGAATTTTTCAGCTGTCAACTGACTGTTCCCCAAAACAAAACCAAAAACAAGGGAACACCAAAGATCATTGACAAACATAAAAACTGACTTCAGCTAACAAATGTCTAAATAATACATGGTTTCATATATTGTCATGCTTCATTAGCTTCATTTGCTCAATAAATTATTATGTTTTATGAAAAGGCATAATAACAAAGCAAACTGATATTTATAGATACTGTGTAGTTGACCTCAGGCAAAATGAGATACGTGCCAAGTCTAAGGACTGTTGTGCATGGCCTCATTGCCATTGTGTATATTCAGTTGTGGGTGTGTGGGAGTGTTTCTTTAATTCAAAGTGGATGGCGCAATTTGAAAGGTATGCTGAATAAATATATTTTTTTGTGTTCCTTAGGAGCACAGCAGGCTGAGGACCCCAGATTACAATGGAGGAAGAAAAGAGAAACGATGTTGAGCGACTATCTAACTGTCGCACAGTCAGATTTGCTAGTAAGACTGAAATTTTACCCATTTGAAACCCTTTAAGTCCTAATATCCTCGTGCAAATTCTCCAGATGGCTCTCCATACATTTCCTTAAAGAATTATTTGAGAGAATTTGATAAAAGATCAAAGCATTTTCCCTTGGTAATCATTTTATAAATTCTCATAACCTTTCCTTTTAATGATGTGTGGATATTGTTAGGAGAAAATTGATGTAAGTCACTCTTATGCTTGAATCACTTTCACCCTTTTCCTTCTTATTTTCAACTGAAGATCCGGTATTGTTTAAACCAGCCCCCATTTTCCTTATTTGTATTCAAAATTAGGATTCCCTATAGACCGAACTTGAATGGGGGCATAAAAGGGTGGTAGTAATATTTCCAATCAATGTTTAATAGTTTCCTTGCTAGAAATTTATGCTTAATTTAAGTAATAATAGTAATAATAATAATAATAATAATAATAATAATAATAACAACAATATTTATTTTATAATAACTTTTTCTTAGTGTGTTTCACAGAATGATATAATTTTGAAAATTTAAAATTACAGGCAAAGCAAAACATGTTGGATGTTAAAAAGCAGAGGCTCAATGTGGCTTGTCAAGAGGTAGGTTAATAGAAATGTATAAAAATGATTTTAGCAAGCTTTCATGTTTTTTTTTGTTTTTGTGCAACGCCAGTGTATGATGTTGCATTTTATACAAAGGAAATAAAACTTGAGATAGGAAATTTCTTTTTTATCTTCGTTGTTTTATCCTCATTCTTCTACCACCTCTACATAAAAATTACACCAAGGTTAAAATTTAACTGAACACTCTGGAAACAAATACTACAATAACAACAACAACAGCAACTGTCTCTTGCTGAGTGAAAGTAGAATCGCTTTGTGGTAAAGAAAAATACTTAGGGTCTTAGCTATATTGGCTAACAACATGGCTCAGGGAAAAATACTGGTAAGTTTCTTACCCTTCTGGATCATCACACAGTCACTGTGAAACACATGTCTCAGGCTCAGTAAACCTCTTAGTTCTAACTTTGGCTTCTATGACCTGCAGGTTCAATTTTGGACTTCAGAGCTTGAGAGGCGAGAAAGACGTCAAGAAAGGCAACCAAAGCACGTAAAACAGGGCAGCTTGAGTTCATCTTCGTCAAGTTCAACAGTGAGCTCTATCACTAGCAAGTATGATGTCAACCAGCTGAAGCGGGAGATATCTCAAGCTAAGGCCAGGGTATGTAGCTTTCTGACAAATGAGTCATGTAGTGTATTGTTTTTCTCTGGAGCAATGGCAGTAGCAAAACATTTAAAGTGCGTCCTGTGTTTAAGGAGATGTGATGTGTAGGTTGAGAGTTTTTCTGTGTGAAGTGATTTTCCTTGTGCTTAGATGCAGTTTTATGTTTTTGGCCTGTTGAATAGTAGCACAGTTCCTTGCTCCCAAACCGGTCAAGTTTGCTTTGTTAACTGGTAGTTTCATTGTATCATTTTCAATATTGAAACTTTGATCTTGAATGCAAAGGGGGCAAACTGAACAAGGTGTTTAATAATTTATGTTAGTTTATCTGCCTGAAACAGAGTTCATTATCCCATACACAGTAGATATTTTACCTTTGTTTTTTGTCCTAAACAGGGTCAGGGGATTCGAACAATCAATGAAACTCCTGAGCCCAAACTTGTGTCAAGTGTGAAGCTTTTTGCCCCCAACCCCCCCGACCCTAACCCCTGTTCGCTTGCCTTTGTTTTGTTAAGTTATGATGGCTTTCACAGCCATGGATAGATCATTGCTGTGAAAAGTGAGTAGTGCAGTAGTTAAAACGTCTTTGCTGTCTTAACAGGTTGAAGAGCTTAAACAAGAAATGGATAATGTTTCAAATGAGGTGCAAGCTGGTAAGGAAGGCTACAAAACATTGGAAAGAGTGGATAGAAAATTGTCCTCACATGCAGGCTGTAAAAAGGAAGATGTTCAAGGGTTGGTGGAGGAAATTCAGAGCATGGAAAGAACTTTGTTTCTAAAAGAGCAAGAGAAGAAAGACCTTGTTCAAGCTTTGCTGAGACTCAAAGACAACTTGTCGCATCCTGATTCCTCAGTTGAGGTAGGCGACCAAGATTTTGCATTGTTGTGTTGCTGTGAAACATGTGCTCAGAACCTCTGTATTATTGGAGGGCATCTCTGACTCTGTAAATTGTACAATGTAGCATTGGTATTTGCCATTTTAAAATCATTTTGAAACCCTTTATGTAGCCTGCAGTGCAGGCTTAGTTTGAGCAGGCGAAAGCTTCTTTATGTTTGTATTGTTTTGCCACCATCTTTGATTTTATAGCGCTTTCGTGAGCAAAACATTCATGCTCCTGAAGAAAACATTTGCACCGCAAGCTACCCTTTATGTCCCAAGAGTGACCAACATCAGTTTTTCTTCCAACAATATCACTGCACCATTAAGACAAAAAATCATATTAATTTTCTCTTTCCTCACCTCTTTCTAGGCGAGAGAAGATTCTAGCGATGTAAAAATCAGTGTTGGATCACAACTAGATCTTGGTTCTGACTCTGCCATCGAAGTACGCTCGACCGAGCAACTTAGACGCGACAGACAAGAATTAAAAGCTGAATATAAAGACGCTCGAAAAACTGAATCAAAATTACAAAGTGAAATTTCACGGTTGGAAGAGAGAATGACTCAGGATGATAACAACGCAAGTTTAAAGCCAGGCCTCTTGCATGAAAAAGAGACTTTACTTGAGGAACTTCGACGATTCCAATCATTTGTTAGATCCGAAGGAGAAAAGGTTTGTTTTAATTTTTTTTCTTTAAAATTTTAAAATGTCAGTTAGGAATGTTAAGGATTGGCATGTTGTTGTCTTCGTAGTGATATCAGGCAAAAAGGCAGCTTATGTTAAAAAATAGCCTCAACGTTTTGAGTTTTCTAAGCTTGTACACAGTGATTTTCAAACTTACCTCTACCCGCGTGCTGTTTGCCTGTTGCCAATTTTCTTCCTGTGAAAACCTAAGACAACGTCAGCACCCCAAAAGCGGTTTAAAGCAGATTTTTAAGATGCAGAACTGCTACAACATTAAAAAAACCTTTTAGTGCTAAGCGTAAGTCTTGACTCTGTTTTTACGAAGTTTCTGTTGGTGTTCAAATATACCTTTGTGGCGACACTTTTCTCCCGCGCTTTGCGTTGGCCTCATGCAATAACTACGAAATCTGATTGGTTCATTTGAGACTTCTGGGTGTCTGTGATTGGCCAGATTTTGATTTTGGTGCGAGTTAAAAAGATCACTTGCCACACCAACAACTCAGAGAGTTGAGAGTTCCACGAAACAGATTGAAATATCGAAGTCCAACTTTCCTTTATCAATCTTGAACTCATGATCCAAATGATCATCTGTCTAGCCCTTTTTTTGTAAATAATCACCTTCTTTCTGTGTGATGTGTCTTGCAGCAAAAACTTGAAGAAGAAAAAGATAAACTGTCAGCGGATCTTGACTCAGCTCGACTACTTTCTGAGCGGGTTTTAGCCGATAGGAATCAACTCGAGACCGAGAAATCCATGTTGGTTCAGAAACTTGCAGAACAAACCAAACTTACCAACTTGCTCAACATGCAACTCAAAAGGTAACCGTACGTTATATATCTTATTATAATTATTGTTATTGTTATTATTATTATTATTATTATTATTATTATTTTATGTTTTACGGATGTCAAGCGTTTCATTGATGGCTGTTTAATTTATGATTTGTTTATTTTACGCTCTTCAGTCTTTCCGGAAGCACGCCCTCTGTGTCCTCCTGTTCAAGTCGATCCCTCTCGTTATCCGGAAGTCGGGGCTCTCTATCAGCATCAAGCCGAGGCTCACTGAATTCGCTTAACTACCCTGATATGAGTCACAGTGGTGGAAGTGAGATGCTCAATCTACGAGAACTCCACCAGCGCGTGACAGATATGCTTCAAACAATGCCGCGTGACGCGACTGCGGCGTTTCCACCTATGTATGGAGTACGGACATCTGGTGTTCCAACGAGCTATACTCCCACTTCCGGTAGAGCGACGCATCCAAGTGCGAGTAACTCGTCACAAGTGTCGCTGTCGTCACGTGACTCTATGTCGTTGTCTTCGCATTCACCCCCGATCTCTCCGAGTACTAGCGATCGCTCACCGACGCAGTCTCCGGCAACTGCTGGGGTTGTGGCTACCGAAGGGGAAAGTACTGCTGTTTTAGACGGGACGGAGTTAGAGAGGAGCTCTTTAACGCAGGTTAGTTTTATCCTACCTTCGCCTTTTTGCATGAAGAAGGTCGCTGTAACGTGTTTTGTGACCTCTTTGCGCAAAAGGTCCCTTTTCCTTTCGAAGCAAGGAAAATGGAGACGTCTGCATGCAGACGGCCAGCTGTCGGAAAGTGTCTCTGTGTTCCTCCTTCTTAAAACTTCACTCTATACCCAACCGTTCTTTGACACTCTACTTTTTCGTTCTTGCACTCCTTCTTTCCTCACGCCTTTCTTATTCTTTGTTGTTTTTATTTCAGGCTGAAGGGATACCAGTTCAACAGCGAATTCGTCTCCTAACCACCGAGTCCAAATCCAGCGAATCTATCAACGCCATTCCCTTCATCCCCTTGTCTCCCATCACGGAGGGAATTCCGGCACTTCCGCTGGGACGTTGCGAAGTGTCTTTACCCCCCACGGGGTCTCGACCCGTTACGGCTGCGCCATCGGATGAATCAGTAGCAGCTGATAGCGGGGTCTTTGACGCGTCCCAAGAAAACCTAAAGGCCTCGCAGAGTAACGGTGACTTGAGATCAAGAAGAGACTTCGATGAAGATTCAACGGAAACGTCGCAGGTTAAAATCGGACTTACGTACGATGTCGATCGCGAGGCCTTAGTCGTTTGTATTGACGAAGCAAAGAGCTTAAAAGCTCTTGGAAACACAACGCAATGTAAGACGATGTACGTCAAAGCTGCGCTATTGCCGTGTGCGCCGAGTGAACGCTGTATCTTGGAAACAAAGCCATGTAATTATCAGGAAAACCCAGTGTTTGGAGAGCAGTTTCACATTCCGCTTGCCAAAGTAAGAAAACCAGCTTACCGGCACTTCATTTAACACAAAGTCGTCACTCACTCAGGCATGGGGGGAATCAGTTCGGGCACAACTGGATCTGTAGATTGGGAAATTTGAGCGGTGGGGAGGGGGAGGAAGGAGGGGTTGGGGTGGGTACGAATTCGACAGGTTCCCACCGTGCTGAGATAAATCATGTTGCCGGTTCGCCTTTGAAGAATGCTTAAGAGTAGGAAATTCTTTCAGAAAAAAGCGCGGACAAGTCAACTCATCAGTGCCATTAAGCGAGGAGAATGCTGACTTTTCCACGCTGGATGGAGGCTCCGCCGCCAAAAACTTTTCACCGAACTCGCATTAGTGAACCTGCTCGCAGGCTAATCAATGTGCTGTCGAATAGTCTTCGACTGAAAACAGGGTCTAATAAGATGACAATGATAGTGTCCTGTGATCTGATTGGGTAGGCTAAACAGTAAACATGCAAGTCATAAATATCATAGACCCAAACTTCAGCTTGAAGACATTGTTTATACAGTCAAGTCTCTCTTAACGGACACCTAGAGTTGGTCACTGTCTTTCTTTACGCCTTTTATTTGACTCTCTATAATGCGGACATCTCTCTAAGACGGACACGTACTGCTGGTCCCACGGGTGTCATTCTTAGAGGGAGTTGACTGTAGTTTTGAATTAAAGTTTTAAAGTGGTTTACTTACACTTATTCGCCATTTTCACTTCTCTCATAATACACATTGTTTGCCCCCCAAAATTTTGCACAAGCATTGTCATATATTTCTCTTGGAACCACTGTTTTACCCAGGAGAAATCAAAAACAAAGGTTATGCAAAGTTTGAGGGGCAAACAAGTTCTATTATGGGAGATTGCAAATGGCGAATAAATATTTCGGTTTAAGTATGAACCAGGATCCGTATTCCGCTCTAAGTGAATTTAGGTGGTAACGTAAACGTTCGGCTGTAAAGGATAGGAATTTTTGAGAGGAGAAATTATATTTATCATTGTCATTTTTATCTCTTGCAGAGTAAACTGACCAGTAAGACCCTTCAAGTGAACATCCTTACTGTCAACACCTTAGAGACGGAGGAGCTTTTGGTAAGTTGACATCTTTCTGCTTCTTAATTTGATCGCGGTAAATGAGATATGTGTCAGTATTTTAATGATTATTTGATTTCTTTATTATATTTTAAGGGCGGGGCACAAATCAGCCTAGCGGATTTTAACGTTCAAACTCCGGTGCGATTTCGATGGTATAACCTCCTAAGTTGCGCGGTAAGTAAAATACAACAACAACAACTCAGTTTATTTATTTCAAAGTTTTTGTCACAAAAAATAAATTCATATACAACCCGAAAGTCGCAAAGGCTATTCGAGGCGGGTTGCGTAAAAAATAATGAAGTACTTTCGTAAAGTAAAATGTAAAAAAAAAAGTTAGTTGTACTCGACCTCTTGTGTATATCCAGTGTTTATTTCTATTGCGATATCACAGTAGTGTGAGTCTCGAAAGAAAATCGTAAGTAACAAAAAAACCGCAGGTGATGATCACAAAATCTGGGAACCAACAAGTGTTTCTCCACTTTGCTTGCAGTTTTTCCAGTCAGCGGCTGCCAAGTACCCGCGTAAGAGTAATACTACGACACCGATTGGTTCCCTGTCTTTGGATAGTGTAAACGAGTCAAAACGAGGCAATCTGCGACCCAGCTCATGGGTGAGTTTCTGTGAAAAAGAGAAATGAAAACTTCGTTTGTGACACCAGATAATCCAGAAACGTTATTCGTGACATAAACCTCTAGTGTCAACCGCCCCAAATTTAAAGTAACTTTGTAAATCGTTACATTAAATTGCCCCGCGCCTAAGTGTGCTCACTGCGGTCCTCTGTTTTACCAACGTTCCCAAAGTACAAATAATCGCGGGTAAAACCTGAGTAAGTTTTCTAGTTTTGAATTTGTATTTGTTGTCAAAATCAAGGATATAGGCCCCCGACTGAACTAAAATGTCTATCAGCCTGTTAGCTGTCCTTATGGTCAAGCGTATTTTTGTAATATACAGTGAACTTTCTCTAAGATAGACACCTCTGGGACCGGCCGCCACTATGTGCCTGTCTTCAAGAGATGGTCAACGTAAAGGAACGAAGAAAGGCAGAGACCAACTCTAAGTGTCTGTTTTAGCGAGAGTCGACTGTATGTCTTCCTGACTAGCTTTTATTTTATTCCTGTTTTAACAGTGCGAGGGTTCTACATTCAGTCTCGAGTCAGCGGTTGGGTTTGAGCGGGTGCCCTTTACATCAGTGAGTCAAGAAGTACTGAACCAGCCAGGGGACAGCCAACCTATACGCAAGCGTACCGCTGGAAGGCCGGTAGAGAGGGCTCAGTCTCAGGGCGACAGTGTGATCAGCGGTGGTTCTCTGCAGGACAGAGACAGTGACTTCGAACGATCGCCTGTAGCTCGGTCCAGACCCCTGCTGGGAAGGTCAAAGTACTCTCGCAAGTTTTCTGATCCGCAACCCCTAGGATTGTTCCCAGCACATGTAAGTGCTTGAAAGATCTTTAAAGTCAAATTTTAGGGATTGTAAATTCTGAAGGAGAAAGTCGAGGAGTCAATTGATCTTTCCAAGTAGCGATTGTAAAGTGGCAAAATTGGACAGGCGTTTGTATGGTGGGGGCAAGTTCATGCCCCCCACCTTACGAGGGTCTAAAATTTTGAGACTTTTTGGAGCAATATCTTTGCTCGCTATAGGCGTATCACTTTTGAATTTGGTAACGTTACTAATTCAAGGCGCTCTTAGACTACGAGCAGTCTCTCTTTTTGCTTGCTCCGTCGAGAAAATCGCCCGAAACACGCAAATGACCACGCGCGTGACTGAAGGCGCGAGACAGGAGAGGCCTGACAAAAGAGAATCTCTCTTCTTTCTTCTCGGACTGCCGCTCTCGTTTCTCGTGTCTCGCTGCATCGTCGCTCAACGCTCGCGCGTGCGTGTACTCCCCTTACTAAATCTGAAGAAAAAGAGGGGCTGCTCGCAGTCTAAGGCGCTCTTGGAATGTGCTCACTGCGGTCCTCTGTTTTACTAACGCTCACAAAGTACAAACAAGGGAAGGTCAAGCCTGAGTAAGTTTTCTAAAAACTTGAAAAGAAAAAAAAAACATGGGAAAGTCTATAAGTATAGAAAATGATGAACAAGATAGTTGTTTGGTCGATCCGGCGTACTTTCTACTTAGCCTTGGCAAATTATGGGTCAGAAACAAATGAATTAATAAGACTCTGGCATTATTTTCAAAGGGTGAAGATGACGAGGTTCCAATGATGCAGCTGAGCCACGCGCTCTATGACATCAATCTGAATCGCAGTAACTCGGACTGTACCACACGGAAAACCGATCTCAGTCCATTCGTACGCATGTCAGTGGAACGAACGAGTATGAGACGAAAAAAGGTGAGTGAAGGTTCCGAGAACTTCATTAATGTCTTTTATCTCACCGATTGGTCAAAAGGAAAAGAAAAGATAGAGAGAAAGAGAGAAAGAAAAACAGCTAAACAACAAACAGAACCGAACAAAAGTTTTGAAGGAACAGTACTCGAGTGCTTTCTCGTAAAATGTTATACGTTCAAAGTACAGTTGACTCTCCCTTAAAGGACACTTCTATAAGAAGGACACCTCGGTGAAACGGACACCATGGAGTTGGCGGTCCCTACATTCCTTTACTCCCTTTATATGACTCTCTATAAGACGGACACTCAGAGCCGGTCCCAAAGGCGTCCGTTGTAATACGAGTTGACTGTAAATCCTAAAAATCCCTTTATCACATTAAAACAGTATCGTGCCGCTTTTTTGCCAGGCATCGGACGACTTTCCAACCCTCCTCAAAGTATTGTTCACACTCCCGGTTTTTATCATATGACTAGAATTCCAGTAACTCAAGTGGACCCGACTGTACTTCCGGTTTCATTTTTGACCAGACTCCACTGGACTCCAGGTTTTGTCCACTGGAATTTAGTCGAGAGTATTGGACATAAGTGGCAGCTTAAGGGTTTTTGCTTTCATCGCCCAAACCCCACTTGAAAACCTTAAGGTTTCGTTGGTACAATGGTTCACAGAGAATCGAGATATAATGTTCTGTTTGTTCATTTGCAGCGCCCAATGTCGTGGCAAGGGATTCAGCAGTACCAACAGCTTATACCCCACTTTGAAGAAGGAAGTGGCCGAACAGCTATGGACTTGGAATTACACTTAGAGGCCTCCAGAGCCAAGCAGGTCTGTGAACTCACTTAAACAATTTGAACTCCTAAAAGGGATTTTTACTCCTCTTTAAGTCGCAAACTCACGATAACCCTCAGTAAATGTTGGTACGTCCACGCCTAGTGGGGGCCAATCAAATAAATGTAATAAGGATAAATTGGCAAGTCTGGGAGAGAAGGGCTGCTGGATCAATTTAGGTTTTTGGGAAGCTTCCCACCCACCCCTTCCCTAAGCCAACATTTTGCCCTAAGCGAGAAGTAAGTGTTAATGTTGGCTTAGGGGAGGGGTAGGTGGACAGTTTCCCAGAAACCTAAATTGTTCCGGGCTTTCTTCCCTCCCCCATCTTCTGTTTTCCCCGGGAATTCCGGCTTTTAAGCCCGGAAACACGACCTTTCAGTCATAACTGAGTTATACAAGTATTATTTCATGGGGTGCAAAGGTGAAACTGCACACCAAAGGTAACCAAAGGTGACCATGTTCCCTCTTTTATGATTTAGCTTCAGGTCAACGATGAAATTAAACGGTTATCCCAGCTAAAGAAGCGAATCGAGGAAGCCATCGACGGAGGTTTGACTGAAATTCCCAAGTGGATTGAAGAGAGTGAAGAGTTTCAAACACTTCTGAGAGATGTGGAAGTAAGTTATAAAACCTTATTTTTTATATTTTTGTAGCTACGGGACTGCCGTGGTCTTATTCTGGTGGTTATAGAACAAGTTTCCAAAAACGAAATAACAATTATTGGCGAACAGGAGCTTGCGCAATTCTCCATTCCCTTGCCAATTCGTCACTATAGAAACGGGAAGAGAACCGGAGCAGAAATGCGTCCCGCAGTTGTTTCAGGGATCGTTACTGGGGGCGTGCCGGTCAGCTATTGGCTAATTTTTTCCCTTGTCTCTTGCAACAGTCCCAGAAGACTGTGCGAAAATGAACTCGTCCCAGTTACCCTCTCGTTTCTAAAGTGGCGAATTCCGAAGGAGAGAACTGAACTTGAGAATCAAAGGATGTCTTGTTTTTTTTCTGGCTGAAAAGCCCACCGCCCCCCTCCCCCCTCCCATTGGTAATTGAAGTATCATAGAAGAGAGAACGGGTAAGTTTTCGTCAAATTTAAAGCATAGTTGTCCCTATGTTTATATTACTCTTTGTTGTTTTCAGGGATTTAGAAGTCTAAACTTTCACAGTCATCGCGGTAGAAGTCCTTACTCGAGAAGAAGCCACAAGGCATTGAGGTGAATAGAAGTTTAGCTTTCTTTGTGTGAGTATTTATACGAAGTGAGTGAATCACGAAACTCTCGAAAAACCTTACCTTTAGTTTACGGCTACGCAGCTGTTATTAGTTTGTGCATTCACGTTCTCTTTGGGTATGTCTGAGCATTTTTAACCAAAACAAAACAAAACGACAACCCCCCAAAACAACTGAGGCAGACAAAACAATCAATACTCAGAAAAAAAAGCGTGTGGTCGCCGGCGTTCAGCGCGGAAAAGCGCACACAACCAGGTGATGACCAGTTTTAGTTTTGCACCAGTTTGGTTGATTTGTCAGTTTAAGTCAATCACGTGACAACAACATAGTACGCCGAAGTAACCAATGATTTTCCATTTTTATTTATGTATTTATTCATATTTCTTTCAGGGAAAGATTTCCTCATCTTCCTCCAAAACAAGTGAAATCGCCTGTAAATCCTAGTACAAGTGAGCACTGGGTATAACAGAAAGAAAAAAGACAAAAAAGTATGGAGAGAAATTTCTTCCCCTCGTTAATATTAATTGCTAAGAATATTCACATGTATTTGCCGCAGTCTTTGGTTAGTGTTGTAACTTTTAAGTAGGTAGTTTGTTATAATTATTATTATTTTTTTTTGCGTTTTTGTAGTCAAACTAAATCGATGTTGTTGTACAAACAGACCGAGAACTTCTAAAAAGTATAATTTAAGTTGTCTTTTTATTTTAACGAAAGAGAACTACTCTATAAAAGTTTGAGGAGCTCTGTATTTTTGTGGCTTGTTTATAACGATAGTTGTATTATTATGCTTTTCTATGGAGTATTAGAGTAAACGTTTTGCTACCCTGGCGGCCGTTTCTGATTCGCGGTTGTAAACTTTGTGATATTTTTTAGACTCTAAGCTACTATGAGAATTTGGTAATCAACTTTAACTAAAATGGAAGTCGAATTTGAAGCGCAAAAGTCCATATTTACAGTAATTTGTTACCTTGTCAGAAGCTAGAAGACAAACATCACGAAAGAGTACTGTTCATTAGCTATCATTCGTTGGACTCGTGTCACTCATTTCGTGACATTCTTACATAAATCTTTAGCTAGTAAAGCCTCGATTCCAGCCACTCTCTCGGGTCCAGTCTTTCTCCTCCTCGAGGGGAGTCTTGAGCGCGGGCTCATGTAATGAGCAGTGGCTGCCAATCGAGCTCAAATCCTGTATCATCATGATTGAAGCCGTTTCACACGCCACGATTTGTGCAATCTGTCGGCTTAGCATCATAGCAAATCCACGCGCTAGGAATTACCCACCGATCTTTTTAACTAAAAGGTATCGCCGAGACGAGAATTGGCCTACTCACCTAACATCTGTTGCAGTGCAACCGATTTATGTGTTTTTATGCGTCAGTTTTCGTGCCACATCGGTCTTAAATCCTCTCTTTCCTAAACCAAGTTATGGTGAGATGTTTTGCCATCCAAGCTTTTGTATCTGTGGACGAAATCCCGTGGTGTTTCCATTCAAATGAAACCTCTTGGGCTGATTCTTTGAATAGTAATATTGAAATCGTAGGATTTTACAGAAATCAGTTTGAATGTCTGTTTTTTTTTTCACTTTGGCCACCATCAGGAATGAAAGGGTTTAATTATGATGACAAATCGTAGCGTGCAAACCGGCTTTGAGTTGTACGTGAGCAAGGTCTTTTGTATCCCCACGTTGTATTTCTGACGGGCAGATGGATGGGCAATTTAAAATATCTATTTCCTTTTACAAAGAAGCATCTCAAATACACCCAAAAGTAAGAAATATATCCACGAAAATATTGTAGCGAAGAGATATAATTAAGCCTTGCTAAATCCAATACATATATTGCGTACCCTTACTGGTAATTTGATAAAATTTTGTATCCCAAAAATTGAGCATACTTAACTGGGGTGTATATATTTATTTATTACCTTGATACACCTATATTCCATTTGTGAAGAATAATATTTTAATATATGACATTTATATACCTGGATAAACTCCAAAATGACTAAATTATGGTCGTTTTGCTTGTTATATAAATTCATTCGTTTATATTGTAAACGACGTAAGGTAATAAAATGAGAAAGCATTATTTTGCAGAAGAATGTCTTATGGTGATTATTGTAATAGACTATTTTACAGTTGTGTATTGAGTATCCTGGCATTAACTGGAAGTGAAGCTACAGGTGACCTTGCACTTTCGTTTTGGTGTCTTCCGCCCTCAAGTCTTCGAGCAGCCTCTTCATTTTTCCTTCCACAACTGAATTATTCCATGCGTAAATCGCGCGCGTGCGTCTCGTCGTAATCCCCTCTCTGGGATAAGAACTGACTTCACGGATTTTAAGAGAAGAGGCGGACTGCAAGTAGTCTGTCCTCCCTCGCGTCCTTCGCTTATCTTTAGCCCTATACCGAAAAATTCCGAAAATAAGCCCCGCGGCTTATATTTTTCAAAGGCCCTTTTTGAGGGGCTTACATTCGGAGGGGCTTATCTACGGAGGGAAATTTGAGTTTCAAAATCGATTGGGCTAGCCATATAGTTGGAAGTAAATTTACCGTTTTTGCTTTGTTTTACTTTGTATTTGAGGGCAATTTTCCAAGTACAATTCCCCGGGGGGTTTATATTTGGAGGGGAGATTTGACGGAGGGTTTTTTGCGTTACCAGCTTCGGGGGCTTATATTTGGAGGGGCTTATTTTCGGAATTTTACGTATTTCTTATGCTGATGTCATGCGAGCGAAACGAGATCAGACGGAGAATAGAGAGTGGCGTTTGGGTCAGCAGTCGACTCAGCACAACAATAAAGCACAAGGCTTTTGATTACCACACTGAGCTGCAAAAACAACATAGCAATAGCTAGCCTGAGATCATGCCCTCTCCCTATTATAAAGAAGCAAAAAAAAAAAAAAAAAAAAGACGCCTGATCGCAGGTTAAGCAATAGCAGGTAGTAAAACAACGTGTGAGAACCGCAAAATGGCACAATTGTAAAAAGGTAACCTGCTTTTTAAGCAAAAGATCTTCTAGACTGCGAGCAGTCTCTCTTTTTCTTCAGATTTAGTGAGGGGAGTGCGCACGCTCGCGAGACGCGAGAAACGACAGAAAAGAGAGACTGCTCGTAGTCTAACGATCTTCCTCTCCTGCGCAAAAACAAAAAGTAGGGGCACCCAACGAGGATATAGTTCAAAACCACTTAACATTAGCATTGTTGAACGTATTTTAGTATTTAAACGGTAGATATAGGCATATTTTTACCCCCTAAAAACTTTTCATCTGTTCGGATCTCCTAGCTGAAAGTCTAGTGATCCGAAAATTATAGGGATCAAAACTTACCTTTTCGAAAATTTCAGCCAGGAAAAGGCTCCCGAAAATTCTAGGTGGCCTTTTTTAGGGTAAATATCCGTTTAAAATGGGTAATTATACCATTTTGTAGATGTTCGAAAATCCTAGGAGTGGCAGGCAAGCAAGAAATTTTACAACAAATGTTCCGAAAATTCTAGTTCTCAAATCGTCTTCCGAACAGATATTTTCTCGAAAATTGCCGTTGGGTGCCCCTGAAAAAGGCAAAGGGCAATTTATTCTATTACTGACATATTTCAAACTTTTAAATACTACTTGGGTACAATATGAAGATTTTTCAGTGCGTACAGTTAAACCTGTCACAACGGCCACCTTTTAGAGAGGTAGCCGTTGTAGAGAGATTTAAACAGGAGTCAATCTTGACATGTCTCGAGCATCTGGTCAACCAACCTTTCTAGAGATTTAAAGATACTAATCTTCCAACCGATGATAGAGTCTGTCATACTCTATGTCTGGGAGAGGTGGTCACTTACTGTTGCTATGGAAAAGTCCCTCAGTGGAACATATACCTGTATGCTCCGCCGTGTCGTTGATACCAGTTGGCGATACCCAAGTCGTCAACGTCGAAATGTACGGCGTCTTTCCAAATTTGTCAGACAGGATCAGATTCAGAAGGCTTGGTCTTACTGTCCATTGCCACAGGTCAAGTCACCGCGATATGCAGCAAGCCAGCTTGCCCTGTGGCTGCCAAGACAGGGACACCTACGATGCGGTCGACCAGTGTCAACATTTATAGACACTGTGATGAGGGACGCTGGAGCAGCATCCACCAGCGAACTCTCAGCCTGTAAGGAAAACAAAGTCGACTGGGCGGCTCAGGGCGACTAGCTCGGCTGAGGCAGCCTTAATAAATGAATGAATCTATAGACTGTCCACCAAAAAAGTAGCCGTTGATGTAGAGAGGTGGCCGTTAGTAGAGGTTCGACTGTATACAGAATCAACTGACCAACCGGATTAAAAAGCGTGAAATGAATTGAAATCAAAGTCGTTTGAGCTAACCAAAGGGTTTTACTAGATAAACTTTTACATATATCATCTTGCAACATCTATAACAGACATATTCGCAAGCTCCTAACTAAAAACGAAAGCACTACTACTAGTATAAAATACAATAAATCGAAAGGGGTAAACATAACACTGAAAAAAATGTAGTCAGAGACGGTGGCTTTAAATTTTGCAGTTGAATCCAATGTTAAATAATCAGATGGCAGGCTATTCCAGTCAATGATAGTTCTCGGCCAGAAGCTGTATTTGTACGTGTCACAGGATGGTTGAAGTGGGATAAATTTCAGTGGATGAGATGCTCTGGTTTTTAGGAAAGACTGTCCTTCAATAACTCTCCGCTCGACTGTTTCCTGTCTCAAACGCCTTTAATTATTTTTTCACTTCTTGGTCTTACAAGTTGGCTTTGTAAATTAGCCGTGGTTGTCGTAGAGAATGTATATATTTGACTTATAAACATATAAAACTTGAGCTTGCGATCAATTGAAAGCTAACCTATTCAGCTGGACAAAAGCTAAAAAACGGTTGACCTCGATGAGTTGGTACCTAAGCCCTAAGTGATTTTGGTTAGCGGATAACTTGTTTGACAGCTGTCGATTGACAATAACATACACGTTAAACACAGGTTACAGGCTAGGATCCATTACTAGCCGGAAAATGTGACATTACACATTGGTTTCCCTGTGGTGTCGACGGACGGGCGGACGAACGTACGGTCACGTGACTACCTTAATTTCTTGGATGCATAGATAACCAAATTTTCTTAACCATAGCGCTCCGCCGCGGGTGCTCGCGTGCTCAAGAGCTCCGCTTAAGAAAAAACAAAGGGACAACTAGGCGATTAAACGCTATCCACAGATTATGTTCTTACTTAACATGGCTTCTGGAATTTATTCGTGTCTGAAATTATAAATATAAGGCTCTGGGTACGGATCAGGCAGATTTAGCCAAGACGCAAGGAACCCATGAAAAGATGACAACAACACGTGAGCAGTGACGAGGGAACTAACCAATCAAAGAACAGCAAATTGAGCCAGGAAGTCGCCTTCAGCATTTTCGCCCGCTTTTACGTTTTTATTTGACGTAAACTGAGACCTGGCCCAATTTGAGCAGCTTCCATAGAGACTGATCTCGGGTTATATTTGACGTCTCTTGTCTTTGCTAAATCTGCCCATTAGTTCTTACGAACAACGTGGATCTTCGGTCATCACCACAATTTCTCCTTTTTTCGATTTGGTCTTGAAAATAGATAGAAAATCCCGGACCATCCCATTACGGACATGAATGGGACAAAGGTAATCTCCATGGTTACGACCCACATAAACACCGTCCACTTGGAGAGTGTTTGGAGGTAAAAGGTCACCACGCTTTGCCTTCATAATGCCATATCCAGTGTCCTTCAATAACTCTCCGCTCGACTGTTTCCTGTATTCACCATCAAACATGGAGATCCACGAATCGCAGAAGCCATCTTTGATGTCGACAAAGCAAATGCTTCCTTGAGAACGACCAAAGTACATGTCCTCTGAAGAGTCAACTTTCTTAGCTTTCATGGCATAACGCGGAGGGGTGTCTCCCTGTCTGCAGGGTATCTATACCGGTTCAGGATTCGAAGGCTGAATGTGGATCTGACTGGAATCTCCCCTTATAGTAATACAGCCATATTCTGAAGGGTAAACAACCACGTCATTTTCAAGCAAGTTGAATCCGTCGTGAACACAAATGTACATCGGAGAGTCGCGATTTTCAACATGGAATGGTTTTGGAATCCCAGGTTTAACAACATAGAATTCTGCCTTGTGCATTGTCGCAACAAGTCTTCTTTTCTGCTGTTCGGAAAGATCTTCCTCAACCTCTGAATCGACCATCTGGAGACTGAGTTTTGAATGCAACTCCGTGTCGCCGCTGAGCTTTTTGCCGTTCACCCGCACAAATAGAAGCTCTACGGCTTTAGTTTGTTCGTTACGTATATGCTGTGGGCAGCAAAAGGACCTGAGCCAATAGAAACATAACACAAAAGGATCTCAACATGAAAAGCAACAAGGACCGTCAGTCAAAGCTTTACCTTTTTTATGCTTTAATAGGGAGCTTAAGCAACGTTACTTTTGAGCGACGCACGCCAACCGGAAGTGGGGCCTCTTACCTTTTAACCCAATAGTCACCTGAATAGTCCCAAAAGCCCCCAATAGTCACCTGAATAGTGACCCAGATCGATTTCTCCCAACAGTATCCATACATTGTCAACAGATAAGTTATGAGAATTATTAAAATGATCACCCAAGAAAAAATGCCTTGATCTTTTATCAAATTCTCTCAACTCATTCTTAAAGGAAATGTATGGAGATCAGTTTGGAGAATTTGTATGTAGATACTGAGGCTTAAAGGATTAATATGTTTGACGCTACCACCTTTGTTTTGTTGTGAGATTCTACTCTTTAAGGGATGATTGTACCCGAAAATTTGGGCAAAACCACCGTAAGAAGTCTACTTCCGATTCGCTCAAAAAGCCTTTGCTTTAGCGCCTTATTATCTTATTTGGCCTAGACGGATTGATGCCGCGGGAAAGTATGGTTTTCAAGTCCTAATTGAGTCTTAAACAGGTTCTACAATTTCACTATTTGGCGTCTTTAAATCAAGGGTGTGTAATTGGACCGGAAGCCTTTAATAGAGAGTGAAAGGCTGTTTTCCACTAGCACGTACTAGCCTGCGTAGCTGGCGGTATTGTGTGGGTGCGAGATTAAAGTTTTGGCGGCGGAGCCGTGTTCCAAAAAAGGGAGTAGGGACAAGGCGGTTGAAATCTCAAATCTCACTCGACTATATTACAACGGCTCCGCCGCCAAATCTCACTCGACTACTACACAATACCGCCAGCTACGCAGGCTAGCACGTATTAGCGACGGAGTCGGAGTCGGTGGTGTCGTAATCAGAAGGGCAGAACTTTAGGATCTTGTGAAAACAGCGTTCTGATTAAAGAATTAAACCAATCACAAAGCGTGGGAATGAGCATTTGATTGGCTTCGTTCTTCTGCTTCTGCTTCCGACTCTGACAATCTGGTCTTCACTAAATCGTAAACAACAGACAGTCATAAGCGGAGTCAGAATAAAATTGAAACGGTCTGATTCTTCCGACTCCTATTCCATTGCGCTTATGACTCCACTCACGACTCCGATTTTTGATTCTCACAAAATCATAAGCGCCCTTTACGACCCTGGGTCCGTCATTAGTGAAAACTACCTCCTGCAGATGGGCGGTCTACACTTATGGCACCAACGAACCAACAATTTTTTTCCAAAAAATTTAGTTTCCATGATATTAGTTTTAAAAATTACCTAATTCTTCATGAAAAAGGAAACGAGGGTCATAGTAAGAACTCTTGTATTAAACATGTAACAGGGTAGCGAAATAAACAATTTTTGTCTCGTACAGGGTCACCTTTGGAGGGCTTTGGAGGCACACCTCAACCTAAACACCCTTGAGTGTCCCCATGAGAATTGAATTTCTTAAAGTGGAATTGATTACGACTGCACGTATCGACTTTGGTATCAAAAAAAGATATAATGCCCATCTTTTGACTACCGGATTTTTCGTGAAGCTGCATTAACGGTGTTTATGTTGCTAGTATTGCGATCCTGTGTTTAGGACGAAAAAATCGTAAAATAAATACCAATTTTAGGCAAAAGGACAAAAGCACGCCATTTATTGCTGGGCAATATTCAGGTTATAGTCATTGTTTTTGTATATTTGGAGTAAAAATAACTTACATCTCGTCAATCGTGCAGGCATTACCCTGTTTATTGAATTAGGAAAAACCCGCCTGAAATTATATGATTAAAATATGTGCCCTGTTTAGGACAGAGAGATAAAAAAACGTACGGTGTCCAGCGGCACATCCCCGTATAGACCATATATGGGAGTACTCCTCAGTGGAATATTGCGTTACAATTAAAGGTTTTAAAATTACGGGAAAGATATTAGACGGTGATCTGCCGCTACATGTAATGAACATCTTGGTAAGATCAGTTGCCGAGCTGACGGTGTATCATCCGGCAGGGGTATTTTGCAGAACGCCGAACAGCCGCCGGAGCGCGCGTCGAACGCCCGAATGACTGTGAAGTTTAGTGATTAGGAAAATGAGTGAATCAAGTTTCAGGTCAGCTTACCCAGTATATTAAATGGCACTAAATGGAACCTGGTTAACTCAGTTTCCTATTAAACCCTGCGGATCAGTAAACTTCAGAGTCATTCAGCGTTCGGCGGCCATTTCGGCCATGTCGGCTTTCTGCAAAATACTCCTGCCGTGTATAAGTAAGTTTAGCTACAAGCCATTACTACTCCCAAATCGATATAAAGAAATTAAGCTGAGAGTTACGACCTTACCTGTATTTTTTTTTGAACTGGATGATCCCATTACAGCCAAAAAATACGAAAAAAGTTCGACAGAACTGCAATGACCGCTTACGATTTGAAAAGAAGCAGCTCTCTTTACGTGTGTTTCATCTGAAATTCCCCAGCGAATCAGGAGCGGATCGATCATGAAAATAACTACCCCCTGTGTTGACTTTCTCTTCCTGTCACGGCGGTGTGTGTCACGTTCACTGTCACGCTATCAAAAATCAAAATCAAAACCCTACAATATATAAAGTCCAGAATCCGGGAAATGAAAGGAGGCAAGTATATAAAGCCCTCGCTTCGATTCAGGTCGATGCAATTTTTCATTCGCGATATACCGTAAAATTCCGAAAACAAGCTCCTCCATGTATAAGCCCCTCCAAATATAAGCCCCCCAAACTCGTAACGCAAAAAAGCGAAAGTTAAATCGCCCCTCCAAATATAAGCCCCCTTGGGGCTTGTACTTGGAACAAAGTAAAACAAAGCGAAAACGGTAAATCTCCTTCCAACTATAAGGCTAGCGCAATTGATTTTGAAACGCAAATTTCCCTCCGTGAGTAAGCCCCTCCAAAAATATGCCCCTTAAAAAGGGCCTTTGAAAAATATAAGCCCTGGGGCTTATTTTCGGAATTTTACGGTATTCGGAGAAGTGATTTGCCAGATGGGCTCCTGGTAGGGACGCCATGTTGGTGTCCATCTGAGGGGCACCAACATAGCCGCTGGAAACCAACAGAAACAAAAGATAAAATGCAGGGGGGGGGGGAGCTAACTCTATTGTTTTCCACTCAAGTTTCTTGACCCACTCCGCCTGCCAGTATGACGTCACATAGTAACGGGCAAGAGCCTCGGGTCGCTAGCCTACGTAGCTGGCGGTATTGTGTAGTAGTCGAGTGAGATTTGACGGCGGAGCCGTTGTAATATAGTCGAGTGAGATTTGATGGCGGAGCCGTCACGAGCGGCGAAGCCGCGAGAAATACCGCCTCGTCCCTACTCCCTTTTTTTGGAACACGGCTCCGCCGCCAAAACTTTAATCTCGCACCCACGCAATACCGCCAGCTACGCAGGCTACGGGTCGCTTGTGCAAATTAGCAAGGGATGCGACAGTTATTTGGACGAGCGAGGTCGAGGAAAAGGAAAGAAGCTAACAAATATCGCCAGGAGCCCACTCCTGATATCGCTATATATCGCTCATTTGATCGAATGTGTATGAGCTTTGGTGTTTCTATATATCTGCTTGTGTAAACCGTTTTGATATTTTGTGTCCGTGATTGTAAAATTTTGTTAATTTGTTTTGCGAGTCGTGTTTCGGGATCGCCATCTATTTCACGGGACCGGCAAAGGCATCAAAACTTAAAACTTTTTTTTTTCTCTAAAATAGGCAATGTCTAGTCTCCTGAATAGGAGGTTCCATTCACAGATCATGCATGTTTATGTTTCATCTATTCTTTTGCTAATTAAATGGGCCTAACTTCATATCATTTTTTTCGAGTGCGGGCCTCTGTTGATCTCCTAATTCTCAACCACACTCAGTAAAGCTAGTTCGATAGGTTATCTACATCGAGCCGGCCCGTTGAACCGGAAATCATGCGAAATAGCTTTGAAATACGCGCTTAAGCCAGTTTACCTCAAATGCATATTTGAATTCATGATAAATACAGCTCTACCAGCTTCAAACAGCGTCTATGGCAGAGAAAAATTGTTTTGATATGACAAAATTAATTTCTCAAATTATGTGTGTCACCGTGGTGCAGTGGTCAAGGAGTTTCTTGCACGTGCAGATAAACCGGGTTCGACTCCCGGCGACGCTGCTTTCTGTTTCTTTGTACCTTTTTTTTTCCCTGTTTGGTCTATTTTTTTAACACTATTTTTCCTTTTGGCCTTTTTTTCTTTTTTCTTACTGCAGACCCTGCTGGTCATGCACTTGGATCAATATATATTTTAAGCTTAAGTCCGGAGTTTTATTTTGGAAAAGGGATTTCAAAAGCTCTTGATCTGCATACTGGCCAAGCTTACGACCAGATAAAAACCATAAGCTGTCAAGACATGTCCCTCCTCTGAAACAGCTGAATTTTTTTCAATGTTAGTTGACATCATGACAAACACACACAGTACACCACAAACTGTACTAATTTACACCCAACACCCACCAGACCCACTGGCGAAAGTTAAATTTGCCTTTTGTACATCGTCTTAATCATCAATATTATTACCCTAAAATCTCCACTGGGTTTGCCCCCAAAAAATAATTAAACGAAACCTTTTATTCGTTTTCGGGATTTAATTACAGAATTACAGGTCTATGCCCAATACAGTATTAAAATGTGTTAAAGCAACAAGATTCAATCAGGGGCACCCAACGAGAATATAGTTCAAAAATAATTAAACATAGTATTGTTAAACGTATTTTAGTATTTAAACGGTAGACATAGGCATATTTTCATCCCCTAAAAATTTTCCATCTGTTCCGATTTCCTAGCTGAAAGTCTAGTGATCCGAAAATTCTAGAGATCTAAACTTACCTTTTCGAAAATTTCAGTCCGAAAAAAGGCTTCCGAAGATTCTAGGTGACCTTTTTAGGGTAAAAATCCGTTAAAAATGGGCAATTATACCATTTTTGGGGGGTTCGAAAATCCTAGGAGAGGCAGGCAAGCAAGAAATTTTACAACCTCGTTCCCAGGGTTCTCTCCTACCCGCCCTACTTGGAAATTTTATAACAAATGTTCCGAAAATTCTAGATCTCAAATCGTCTACCGAACAGATATTATCCGAAAATTGACGTTGGGTGCCCCTGTTCAATGCTCACAGTTTCTCACAAATACCTGTCATTTAGCTTCTCCTTTCAACGCTACAGCTAAGCGAACTTTGAGAGGAATGATATGGGGTTTCACTAGCTCTGAAGAGCTGAAAATACGCACAATGTAAAGTATAATACATCCTTTGATGAACCTCCTATTGCTGTGTCTAAACTCCTCAATCTTGCTGTGCACTGGCCCTCAAAAGTGTGACCGGTCGGTATGATTGCCCGTAAAATTTGCTCGACGATAGAAAGGAATCTTTAAAATTCATTACACCACTGGACATTTCATTCCAAAAAAGTACTTAAATCTAGTTTTCTATGACAATAGAAACCTTAAAATCTCTAAATTCAAGAAATCGGAACGGTATTTCAGTGATAAAATCGAACATTTTATCCGTCTCTTCGATGTACACTTTGCTCGCCATTTTGAAAGTCACTGACGCGAGACTTGACGTCACTGACTGGCAGGCGGACTGTACCACAGATTTCCTTGGAGCCACCTTCCCCCCACCCCCTGATGAAATGTAATACATTCCTCATTTCTTCCATTTGTAATTATTTGTTTATGCAATTTTTTGCATTTCAAATTTCTTTCCTATCCCTACTTCAACCGGTTTTGTTTTCATATACTTTTGGTAATCACGTGACCGTACGCCCGTCCGTCCGCACCACAGGGAAACCTAAGCCTCTCTTGATCCTGAGACCATAAAATTCACGAAATATATCATAAGGATATTGTACTGGTATAGAAAAGGCTGTTGTCCTTGGTTAGTACTATTAAGATGTGCACTGTTATGTAATGATCTCGAGCGTGATGCAGGATGAGCACGCATTAAAGTCAGTATTTATGTTTTCAAGTATAGCGCATAATAATTAACTGATTCTTAGCAGTGAATACTTTAAAAGGTTTTATAGCCCTAAATGCTTCCAACAAATAACAAACAAATAACATGTATCAAAAGTATAAATTATTGTAAAAAAGACAACTGCAAGGACTGATCAAACAACACGAAAAGACTGTAGCTACGATATTTCGACTGCCAGTACCAGTCTTCATCAGGTTTTTTAAGGCTGATCACGAATTTACAACATGTGTCATCTTGACTAGATGACGAGTTTTCCACAGTCGAAAAATATTAGCTTTCCTACACTTCGCTTTTTTATGTAAATGTTTCATGTTCACGTGTCATGATGTTGAAATTATGTTCACGCGTTATATGATGAAAAGATTTTACTGAGTTCTTAGTCTATGGAAACAAGGTTTCATTCCCAAAATCGCTTAAACTTTTCGATCTTGTTTTGACTTAAAATTTTTGAGAAAAGTCTTGTGACATAACTGACTCAAAACTGTTGAAAATGGTTGGCGAAAGACAGGCTCTCAGCCCGTCCTTCTAGACACAACTGAAATGTAATCGATTAATAGCTATCAATATTTTAACTCCATGCTCTGTGTGAAATTCTGGTGCTTATTGTTTGAGTGAAGTGTGCCAGTACGTAGCCTCCGTGACCATTTTATCATTTATAATAAAGACGTTTGGGGTTATACTAACTCATAATTGTATTTATCTTTTTTTGAAAGCTTGTTTCGATTTTGAGATCTCTGTTTGGTCATAATACAAGTTTGTAACCTTTCTGCTACTGTTCTGTCGCGTTTAATTTAGAAATTATCGCCTTTTGCAACGCAGAACAGAGTTTTTAATATCAGAAGGGCTATAGACTTCTTGTTCGCAAATTATCGGCAAATAACAACACCTGTTTGCGCAGACTTTGAGCAGTTTAGTAATTTTCGCCCTGTATCAAATTTAAAGTTCCTATCTAAATTGATAGAGAAAGCAGTGTTTGTGCAATTGAATAGCTATCTTGGCGAAAATGATCTACACGAGCCTCTTCAATCAGCGTACAAGATTTTTCACAGCACCGAGACTGCACTTCTCACAGTTACAAATGACATTATGCTGTCATTGGATAAGGGCGAGAATGTTTTCCTTGTTATTGGATCTGTCGGCAGCATTTGATACCGTTAACCATTCCTTGCTGCTGGCACGACTGCAGAAATCATTTGGTATCAGAGGAACTGTACTGCAATGGTTCGATTCTTATCTTTCTCAAAGAACTCAGTTTGTAAACATCAATGAGGCGAATTCTACGGTACGAGATCCTTCCGTGGGTGTTCCCCAAGGTTCAGTTCTTGGACCTGTTCTCTACCTTCTGTATACTGCGCCACTTGCTAAAGTGATAAGATCTTATGGCTTAGATTATCATCTATTCGCCGACGATACTCAGTTATACTTTGCATTCAAATCGGTGGACGTGGACGCTGCTAAATCGAGGGTCGAGAACTGCATTTCTGCAATATGTCGCTGGATGGATCTCAACGAATTGAAGCTAAACCACGACAAGACGGAGGTCATGCTTATCCACTCAAAGCATCGTCCCTCTCCATCCTTTCAGTCCTTATGTGTTGGTGATGAGAGCGTGGCTGCTTCTCAGTCGGCTAGGAGTCTGAATGTCTTTTCATGCACATGTGTCTAGCATCTGTAGATCATCATTTTATCATCTCAGGAACCTATCTAGAATTAGGAAGTATTTCACTAAAGAATCAGCAGAAGTTGCTGTTCATGCATTTGTCACATCGAAACTAGATTACCGTAATGCATTATTATACGGCCTACCTAAGTATCAGTTACAAAGATTGCAGTATGTACAAAACACGGCGGCTAGAGCCTACAGCACTTGCGTGAGTTCTTACTAAGCTTTTTACATGTCGGTAATGCATTCACATCAGTCCATGTCCCCTTAATTTTAAAAGGCTATGAATTAGAGCATTCATAGGACGCTGCTAAGTAACTGCTTACGGACTGCATGCACGCGCAAAATTTATTCATTGTACGTTTCTTTTATCTCATTTGTAGTTCCTTTCGTTGAAATTGAATGCATTTACACCCAGTGTGGCTGAAAGTGTAAGTAACTTTCACAGCCAATTTATTAATTCAACATTAGCGGATGATTACTGATGAATTAATGGTTTATATTTCTATTTATTCTCATCTGGAGTTTTCAATGACGACGGCGACGGCCGTTGTAGGGGAACTGAAGGGTGGCGCAGGCACGGGGTCAAATCCCGGCGTCGACACCATATGTGGGCTGAGTTTGTTGTTGGTTCTCTCCCTTGCTCCGAGAGGTTTTTCTCCGGGTACTCCGGTTTTCCCCTCTCCTGAAAAACCAACATTTCCAAATTCCAATTCGACCAGGAATCAGGTAGACGAAAAACCACTATGTGGATGTGCTACTTGCAATCGTTATTTATTCATTTATTTTATTTATTTATTTAATTTTTCATATGACACTCAGCCTGATCAAGAGCCGATTAAGTAATCGGCTCCTGGCCTGATTCATTAATTGCTAAATAATGGTAATGCTACATCAGATAAACCAGTGTTTCAAAATCTTCTTTAGTCGGCCTGCCCACTAAGTCGCTAGTAATTTACGCCTTGGTGGTTAGCTCCTCTGACCACCGTACACCTCTATCCAAGCCATTAATTTTCTTTTGTCCTTCTTCTTCTTTATTAGTGTATTGTTACCTTAGTATATCTGTCTGATTTCGTTAAAACGTGGCCACTGGGTTTTCGCCTGGCGACGGGCGCACTGGCCTGGTGTCCAAAAAAGTAGGGGACTTGACATCTTGGTCGGTACAGCTGGATAGCCCTGGGACTGCTCTAACAGTGGGTGGGTGGATCAGGCGTTGGGGTCAAAACTAGGTGGGATAGGGAGGCGGCTGTTTTGACACAACCCGTTCAGTAAGCAGCAATGTTCAGTGGAGGATTTGACTGGCGAGTACCTTGGTCTTAATTTGCCCTAGCCAGCTGAATCAGGCCTCTGCTGAGAATGATTATCATGATAATTGCAGAGCTCAGTGGGAGGTGCAAACAGTCACCCATTGTCCTGGGTGGGGAGGGTCAAAGTCTTGGTACCAAGGACACACTTAGCTTAGGACCTTTAGACTCTCACTGAAGCCATGTTTTCATAAATCCAGTCAGATATATAGTGTAAGCATTTTATAAAATTGTGAATAAAATTGAATTGAATTGCCTTCGGTGCTAATCTACCGAACAAGAAAAATCTTTTTTACCAGGCCTGGAATGCTGACTGTTAATGCTTTTTCTACCAGGAAAGGAAAGGAAACACTCACACCGAGGAAAATATTCTACCCAACAATTCAAGGCAGTCTCGTTGTGGACAAGAAAAACCATGAGGTGTTCGAGCAAGTATTTATTTGCCTTCTGCGCTTGTGTCATCCTGTCCCTGTATTCTGTGTTCTTCTTCAACCCGATCTCTTTAAAACCTGCTTTGCAGCATTATGGAAAACTGGACGAAGTACAAGATGCGCTAGAAAACGATCACGATGTGTTCAGTCTATGGAACTTTGAGGACAAGTTGTTATCAAAAGCCATTAAAACTGGTAATTCTGTCAGGATGAAGAACATTCTAAGAAAGGCTTTGAGGGGCGAAGATATCAAACTTGTCGTGCTGGGAGGGTCAAATAGTGCGGGGGGTTGTTTAGGAGCGGACGAGAAGAGTTTAGATGGATTATACTTCGGAGTCTTTGTCAACTGGTGGAATAATTATATTGGTGGTATAACAAAGGCCGTTATGAAAGAAATTCAACTGGCAATTGGGGCAACTGGAAGTTATTTTTACTCTTACTGCTACCAAACGTTCCTTGGAGCGCGGGAAAAGATTGACATTGTCCTTATAGAAGTCTCTGTCAATGACCTTAACAAGAGTACACCACTGGAGCAATTAACTCGACAAGTCCTAACGCATCCGTCGACGCCCGCGGTACTGTTTATTAACCTCGTAAGTTATGAACGCAATAACCGTCTAATATGTACAAATCTCGAATGTTTTGGTCAAACTAAGCTCGCACGCTATTACAATATTACTTCACTGGGTTTAAGAGAATTGTTTTGCCATAAAGAAAAGGGAAATTGGAGAGCTGTGATTAAGAACACGACTGCCTCAGATGGACAACATCTGAACGTTAATGCGCACGCACTTGTGGCGACGATGATGATTAAGTATGTAAAAAGCGTTTTCAAGGAAGTAATAAGCGATATTAACAAAGGCATTGGTCAAGTGGAAACCAAAGACATCAAGTTACCAAAGATTCTGCTTATCAAAAGCGAAACAGAAATTTTGAGACAGCCACTGTGTTGGACAGGAAAAACGCCAGATGCGTCTAAACCGATTCACCACCCAAGTCTACGATTTAAAATTGTAGATAACGTAGGCTTTTCGATGTGTTTAAAACTAAAAAACAAGACCAAACCGCTTCGTCCGGATGCCTTTGGGGGTTGGTGTGGGGGGAAAAAGTTTAGTTACCTTAAATTAAGTGTCTTCGTTCCAGATCTGAAAATTAAAGATGTTCCGACAAGTTCGCGGTCCGTGACAGTTATGGTCATGAACGAACGATGTCACGCTACGATTTGGCTTGACAACGAGAATAATACAGCTGTTTATTTTTCTGAAACTTACATCGGGTTTGATCAAGTTGATACAGTTTTGACAAGAGTGAAGCCAGGATATCATAATCTCACCGTTAGGACCATGTGTAAAGGGACATTTATGGTCAGCGGAATTTTCGTTGGACCTCCAGACTTCCGCATGAGATGCCCCCACTAGATATTTATGGGGTATGATTCCTGGTAGTTATTTTTTCACTTCAAAAGCTGTGTTCATGAGCGCGAACGTGTGGCCTGATGGTATAGATGTGGGCCGGCGAGGCGAAGGTCCCGAGCTCGAATCCGGGCGGAACGTTTTTCTCTTCGCTTATTTTCTTTTTTTTTTTTCTTTTTCTTTTAGTTAAGATTTCTTCTTAGTTATTGCAGTTTTGTTTTGTTTCTTTATATAGCTTAAAATTTTTTAGATTTATAAATTTTCTCCTCTATTGCCTTATATTGCCGTTTCCCCGAAGTCCTTCGCAGGGTCCTGCGATTTACGTACTGCTAGTTCACTTCAAAAGCAGTGTTCATGAGCTTAGGTAGATAAAGCATGCGCCGGAAAAAAGACGTTATATCATATATAGTAGTGTCTAATTAATATTAACTAGGGGTACCTTCCTGAAAGTGCTAATGAGGCAAATTTGTTTATCTTTTTTGGAATGAGCCTATTGGTTCCTCGCGATTTGCTATACAGTTTTAGGAAGTTTAAAATTGATTTTGCATAGAAAAGGATGGCTAATAAATTTCACCCAAGTTTGAAAGAGCACTTTCGGCACATTCTAGGTTTTTACTTTTATCAAACAATAACAATAGGGCTTGAAGCTTTGTTGGTAAATTGGAGCAAGTCAGCTCTTATGTTTCAAGGAAAATTCCATTGTATCAAAACTATAAAAGTTCGAAAGTAAAATATTGTTCGAGTGAGGCCCTTAACTACTTAAATCATGTTTAATTCAAAATAAAAATTAAATTCGTAACATTCGCCGATTAACGGCATCATTAGGGATAAGAAAAATATGCTGCGTAATGTTATACATATGAAAAAGTTGGTGTACATCAGCCTAGTCCCTAGGCGTTCTCTCTTGACCCGTTGTCCGCGCGAAGTCTGGGAAAGAGCGGGCGAGAGAGTTCTCGGCGAGTATCTCCCGGTGACGTCACAGCTCACGCTAGAGTCTAGGATTGACCGCGCCGAGAACGCCTAGGGACTAGGCTGGGTGTACATCAAAATGTGTGAAAATTAAAGCGCTAGAACTGGCATGGTCATGGACTTCTAGCTCCTGAAGAATACAGACCAAACTGGAAAACCAATTCCCATGTTCTGAAAAACACTCCTTCTAAACACTACAAGACCTTAGAAACTTGTTTATATCTGAAACTATTTTGAAATTTTATACGTGAAAGGCTAAGACAACCTCCAAAGCACAACAATTAAAATAGATTTATTTAGAAGTTAATATTTAATAAAACTATTGGACTAAATTCCACTTAGGGATGGACCATTAGAAAAGTTATAAGGGGGGAGGGGAGGGGAATTTTAGAGTCGTAGGAATTTTTTTCCGCTATCAGATTCCATGAATGAATTGTTTTTAGGCCATGGCATGAATATTTTTCAGGATTAATTGGCGTGCATGAATTTTTTTTCATTTAATTTTCCCTTGCGCGAATATTTTTTTTGTACTTCGCCCGCCCGCCCCATAACTTTTCTAGTCCGTCCCTTAATGACAGTCAACCGTCAAAAGCTCCAAAATTTAACCGTCAAGCGTCAAAATTGAACAAAATTAACCGTTATCTGTCAAAGCTATCACCCCATTGAGACTCACTTTAAATAAAGTGCTCTATATCTATGCATGGTCCAATGAGTTCAGACTGAGATCATATAACTGTAGCACAACAGGAGCACAAAGTATTTTCTGCAATGTTTTAAATCAAGTCTAATAAGCGATCACTTGAAAACGAGCTTGCAAGCCAGACCACCCCTGATATGTGGTTAAAAAAATCCTGCTTAGTCAGTATTTAGACGAAAATAATCCAATACTTAATGCCCTTTTCCTTCGCCTGTTGACTAATGGCCTGTACGTTGCGGTTTTTCGCTTCTTGATTCTGGCGCCAAACACCCCAAGGCTTTTCTTAACGGCAAATGGGCGTGAAAATTAATTGGCAGTCCGAAAAAGAATACGAAAAAACAAAAGAAAGCTACCAAACAAACAAAACATAATAACCATAATATCACACACATCAATTTGAACACAGATTCAAAGAGAGTCCTACACGTCCCTGGGTTTTACTTTGGAAATTGTGCAGTTGCGACGACTGTAAGTTCGAAGTAGTTAAAACTGGTACTTTTATAAAAGCAGCCTAATTGTTTGAGGGTATATAATAACATATTTTTTGTTTAAACCTGCTCTAATTGTATGACCAGAATATTCGTTCTGTTCTTTGGTTATAACTAGTTGATGACATATCACTGAGGGTAGTTCTGATTTTAATTTAACGGTGTTTCTCAGGTAGAAGCATCTTTTTAAAGACAGTTGAAAGAAAAAAATACATCACTAGAAAAGTAAGTACTGTTTATTCTGTTCAAGTGGCCATGAACTTGAAGATATTAATGAGCTTTCAGTTATTCATTCAGCGACTTCCTTCAGTACACACAGTGAGATATTTATTTTCAAAGGCGAACCTTTTTTTTGGTTCTTTTCTTAGAGAGTTTGAGGTTGAACAAATGTGCGTTTGGCTTCAAAAATCTTGCTCTGGGGCCTGTTTCTCGAAAGGTTCCGGTAACATTTCGGGCCTGGAAAGCTGCTTTGTGTTGGCCATGTTTACATTCAAGATCAAAGTTTCAATCATTTTGAAAATGATACAATAAAACTATCAGTCAACGAAGCAAAATTGACCGGTTTGTGAGCTAGGAACTGTACTACTATTCAACAAGTTTTGATTTTAAAATTTATCCTTCGGGCCCGAAAAGCTTCAGGGCCTTTCGAGAAACTGGCCCCAGGTCTACTATCTCGCACACAAGTAAGAATGAGAAATCAACAATAATATAATTAAGGAAGATTTTAAAGTGTGAGAATTAAACTAAAGAGGACCGACAATTCCTTAATCCCTCGAAACCCTAATATCAAAAGTCAAATTCTCATTTGTTAACCTTTTACGTTTTCAATAGACGTGGTGGGGAGAATTTGTTGAAGCATCAATAAGATTCATCTTCATTCTGTGATCATGTCCTCAATTCTCATAACCGCTCTGTTTTATAAAGCATCGAGATTACAACGAGAAATTTCAAGCTGATGACTCTTAAGGCTTAAAGGGTTAAAAGATGATAAAGACATTCGAAAGTAATGCTCACAAGATCATTTTTGTTGTAATAAGTAGAGTAGAAAATGCCTGAACATTGAACGCACCTTTGAATAAGGTAGCTCTTGGTCCTGAATGTGAGTACCTTGCGAAATAAGAATCCCTCAATTATCCGTCTTTGCCGTTATTAGAGGTTCCTTCAAGTTTTCTACAACACAGAATGGCGACCAAGCGAATAATAAATTCAGTGCAAGCCATGTTTCTTATAAATTAAGATGAATTTTTGGTTAAATAACTTTCAATGCGTGTATAAAGTTTATCTAGGCACTTTCTGTATACTGTCTATGTAGTCCATGCGTTACTTTCTTCGCCCCATTTGAGAAAGTGACATCGTTTACTGTTTTTGCCCGTTGAGTTTGGCGCCAAAATAGTCAACTTCAGTCTTTGCAGCTAGCCATTCACGCTGGACAGCAAAAGTCGCACTGGAGGACGGCAAACAAAGGAAATTTCCATTTAAAATTATGTATGCCTTTTGTTTGTCTTGTCCGGGTGCAACTTTTGCCCTCCAGCATGTGGGCTTTGTACCACATGAATGGCTAGCTGCAAAGGGCCTATTCAGAGTAAATATTAAGAAAACAATACTTCAAAACAAAACGGAAATGAAACAGCACCGTTTCAAGGTTTAACAGTCGTAACCACCTTTTTAAATTCAGAAGCAAAAGTAATAAAAATATGAAATCCTGCATAAGTAAATTTTGCTTGAAGCTGGAAAAGTGGGTATATATAACA